GTCCACGAGAAACGGCTCGTTTTTTAACAAGGATTTATATAATATGTCTAAAATATGAAGTCTATAAAAAATTAAATATATCCAGACCTATGCGGCAACAGTTTTATCGGGGTTTATTATTTAAGTCAATTACTTTACGCCGCTATGAAAATCGGCATAGCCTAATATTTTTTCATTTTTTAAACTAAATTAATCAATAGAATCAATTTTCCTTTTTCTGAGGTCATTAATATCTTCCAAGATGGGCTTGAAACATATTTTTAAATTTTGTATATATTTTTCTCGTTTCTTTTTATTTTCACATGATATGTCATGTTAGTCTAATAAATGTCTCATTAAGTTAGATGTATTGATATTTTTAGAAAAAAATAATTTAAAAATCACAAATGTTTAAATGATAGTAAAAAATAAATTTACTCTTAAAAATCTAAATTTTGTTTCCCTCTTAAAACCTAAATTAGAAAGGACTTATCACTAATTGTCTAATTATTAGTTTCCACCTTATTATTTATTTTAAATGTTTCCATACGAAAGAGGACTTTGCTAGCAGGAATATAACATATTTTGTATCAGGGTATATATCCAGCACCCCTTATATATTATTATTATGTTATTTTATTTATGTTAAATAATAAAGTTAATTGGATAAAGGGAAATAATTATATTTATCTTTTACATTAAATAATAAATTTGAAATGATTTCATTAGCATCTGGGGACCCAGCAGTTTGAAGAAAATATTATATCTATTATTCTATGAAAATATTTATTTTGCGATTAAATGATCATGGAAATAATATTTATTGCTGATATGAATCTAGAAATCTGAAATGAAATAAATGGAAGAATTATTTTTTAAGCGCAGTCTTAATCAATAAGTTAATGACTAAGTGTTTTTAAAAAATTTTTTAATTATTAAAAAAATTTATAATCTTTTTTTTAATTAGTTGCTATAAAAAAACATTTGATTTGTACAAATTGAATTGTTTAACAGGAAAACATATTTAAAAGATTGAGTTATTAACATATTAAAATAGCTGTTATTGATTAAAAATTTACAAACAGCAGGTATATTTCTGAAATATATTGGTTTTAAGGCATCATTTATATTTCAGATTTCTAGATATCAAAAATATTTTTAGTGCCTTATTTTAAGTATATATTTGTATAAAATATTACATTAATCTTGATATAATAGCTGAAGTTCTATATAAATAAAATTACTTTGGAGCTGCATTTTTTTTGTCAAATAAATTTAATTATATATTATTTAATAATAATCCCTTTTCGTATAGAAATAAACAATTTTCTAGACATCGATAATATAAGAAGAGAAAAAAATTATTTTAAATCGAGATATTTAGGTTTTATACATAGTTTTTAATATAAAAGTAATAATTTATATTAAAGCTATATTATTCACAGAGTTAAACCCTACCGCAAGTGCTTGTATCTATGATACAAGAACTTATATTTGTCTAAATAAATTCAATCACTTTTTCATTCATTTGGTTTTCTTTCTTATCTTTATATTTTGGAAATCATTATTTATTTTGATATGCCAACTTTATTATTTTTGCAAATTATATAATTTGATATTCGATTCCTTTTACATATTAATATCAATCATTATTATATTAATATGAATCATTATTATATTAATATTATAATGTTTATGTTAATTTGAGAGTGTAATTTAGATTTTGTATAAATATCGATAATTTAAATTTCTCAACATTCATCAATTATCATTGTTAAATCATTATTCTATTTTATAAAGTGGCAATAAAATATATTTATTTATCATTGTCTCACATTTGGTATTATCATTTAACAGTGATGAAGCGTCAAGTTTAATATTAGGAAGGCAATCAAAATTTTTTTTATTTAGTCAAACCATAAAAAATTAAAATGTATAAATAAGTAGAATTCGTCTTTGTTTTTGAGTTAAATGATCCATCAAATACTAAATTATAAAAGTTATTGCTAGATTTTAAATTTTTTAGTAAGTTTTTTTTCAATTGAAATCAAAAATAAAATTTTTTACATTAAACTTATAATTTATTCATTAAAATTTAGGGGAATATCTATAAAATTATTTTATAAAATTCTAAATAAATTATTTTGTGCATCAATAGTATGGTTAATTAATGGGGGTCATGGCTAAGCAAGTGTTTATAAATTTCTTTGCATGATAAAAATATCCTTCAAAATGAACTGATATCTATAGATATAAATGGAAAAGAATAATATATATATCTTTATTTAATTTTAAGCTTCTGGAATATTTACTAAACCAACTTTCACCAATACCTTTTAATATTATATATTTATTTATTATATTATTCTTAATATTTTTATAATTATATTTATTTAAATTTTATGCTCATACATATGAGATAAAATTTGCACTTAAATATTTTTATTTTTTAGATAAAAAATCGTTAAATAAAAATATATCAAAATGTATCTTAAAAAGTATCTATACACAGATACAGATACCTATGAAATAGTATATAGATATAGATACTTTTTACACAACTCTGATAATCTTAATAAATTTTCAATAATATAATTACAATTATTAAACATTGATATTGCTTTTAAAAAAGAAAAAAAAAATTTATTTAAAAAAAGTAAGGAAAAAATATAATATAAAAGATTTTTTTCCAAGTAATAAATAAAATATTGTTTTATTTAATTTATTGATAATTATATGTCGAAATAATTATTTTTACATATAGAAACGAAATATTCTAATAAATATAAGTAAAAATAAGAGTAAAATTCCAAAAAAATATATTTATATAAAATATTGAATGATAAAATAAAATTATAAAATTGAGTTACTCTGTTGTAAATTATATTTCTTACCTTTAAAAATTAGAATGATCAAGAAAATGAGAAAAATAATAAAAACGAGAGTTTAAAATAATAAGAATATGACAAATCCTCAGACAAAACTTAAAGTTCAAAATTGGAACAATTAAGGTAGGTCATTTTTTTTAAAGAAAATATCAAGCTATGAATGCTTAATTATTTAAATTATACATTCCACCCTTTGAGAATGCGTAGCAAAGTTTTATTGATAACCCTTAGGTACATTTTCCTTAAAGAATCTATATCTAATTTTATTTATATAGGTTGCCTACATCTGATTATTTTATTCTGTAACATATAATTTATTGTTGCAATCGTTGATGCTAATTAATGCGAAAAGTGTTTTTATTTGCATCTATCTTAAAATCATATGGTTTTGACTGCAATTGTTACTGGGGCAAATAAGGGAATTGGTAAAGCGATATGTATTAAATTAGCCAAAAATGGTTATAATATATCGGTGATTGGTAGAACAATTGATAGAAAACAAAACAATGATAACTCTATATATGCTATAAGTGAAACAAGTGAGTTTAAAACCTTTTTATTTATTAAAATTTGGAAATATTCGATTTTAAAAACTTTTAATCTATAAATTTTCTAAATTAGCCACTTTTTAAGATCCTTATTTACTTGAATAATATAATATACACTAAGAAATGTCTTTATTTATTTCATTTTGATTTAATTCTGAAATAGTCTTTACACCCATTCTAATTTTTAGACTTAAAATATTTACATACCTTATCCTTTATAACATTCAGAATCTCTCAATTTTATCCCTTGAGAGGAATTTTAAATTTAAAAACTCTAATTTATCTAGAAATGTATTCCAGCATATGTAAAATACCTATATCCTATAAATTTCTCACAATTTTAGCCATATATTGCTGTTTAAAAAAAAGAAATTATATGTTAAAATTCATACAAATTGAGAATAGTTCAAAATTTAAAATTTATGGTATGGGTGCTCTATACTCATTTCCAAACAAATGAGAATTTTCAAATTAAAAATTGTCCTTTATGATTTAAAATTATGATATTCTGAAATTCATTTGACTTCATATGACATATATGTTATTTTTAATAGTACATGTATTTTTAATTCCTTTTTAAATAACAAATAAATTATTGTTATTTTATATTAAAAGCTTATAAATATATTATTTATATATTAGCTTACTTAAAAACTTTATTATTGATATTTAAAATGTTTTATTTTAGATATAAGGTAGTTTATAAATATAATGATGACATAAATAACAGGCCCAATTCTACTTCACCCATTGGGGGGGGGGCAGATAAAAATTTTGGAGGGACAGTTTTAAAAAAATGAATATTTAAGTTATTTGAACACAAAATTGAAATATACAATTTTATTTGAAAAATACCACAAAAAAAATATACAAAGATCAAATATGTTTATAGAATTAGGAAGGTAAGAATTGACTTTGGATGATTTTAATATTATATAATAATATTGATATAGTTTAATTGTGCTTGTACAATATGTTAGGGATTTTATTATAAAATAATGTTGATATTGTTTAATGTGCTTGTACAATATGTTAGGTATTCAATTAAATATATGTAATTTAAAATATTTATTACTTATTATAATTGGTATTATGTCAATGTTTGAGCCTAGTGAAAACAACAGAAATAAACCATTAACAATATAATTTTGGTTGAGATATATTTTTAAATACCTTGAAAACATTTCTAAAATTAATAGTTTTGGTTATGGTTTTTCCATGTCTTAATAAAACCTTCTTATATTACAATTGAATGTTTACCTGATTTAATAATTCTCTTTAATGGTGAAAAAATTGACTCACAACTTGATATGGATGATCTAAACTGATACAGAATATGTGAAAAACATTTGGAAATGCATATTTATATGGGTATAGAAATTTGACAAAATCTCATATAACACAATCTTTATCATTTTCTAAACTTTTAACAAATAATTTTCATTTACTAACCACTCTTCAGTAATATTGGTTGCCAATAAAGGTTTTAATTTTTTATGTCTAGAAAATTAAAATGGCTATCTTAATTTAAATTTTATTTAAATTTGCTAATTTATATACAAAAAAAAATCGAAAAATCTTATAGCCTTATGATCCTCTTCTTCTATGGATTCTGCAATTATAATGTTTCTCAAAGCGCCTGTATACAAGAACTTAATCCAGTTGGTAAACCCCGTTTTGGTATAGATTTAATTCACCATTGTAAGTTATAGATCTTGGAATGCAAAGAACTGCATCAGCTTCAGATAATTATTCAACTTATACTTTTTATAAAACTTTAAAGAAAATCTTCCATTATTAGTAATATAGTCATTTTGAGTGATTTTGGTAATGTTGTCAACAAGCCCTATTTGGATCGATTTAATTAGCAGTTGTAGCTAGTATTTCCAATACTCCTCTTTATTAATAGGGTGAAAATATTGTATATCACTAATGAGGTCTTTATTTTTAAGAAATCTCTCATTAAAACTTGAATATTTGGTCAATTATAAACCAAATTCCTTCATTTCTATAAATATCCATTAAATTATTAGGTCTTTCATCTATCTCTACATCTACATTTATTATAATATATATTCTTTTCATAGGACTAATTATATGACATGTAATTCTCATACCATGACAATATTTTCAGGTAAAATTTGCGTTTAATTTTAATACCATATCTTTTTCTTTTATTTCATAGTCAATCTGGAATCAACCATCTTCCAATAATAAAAATATCAATATTAATTGGCTCAATTAAAAAAATTTTAAAAATAGATGTTTTAAAGATTTAAATTTTAATAAATTATCAATAAATTATTGAGTCTCAGAAGTAGTTTTAGCTTCAAATGATTCTGTCTAGGATATATATATAGTAAGACACATATTGTAATGCTAACATATTTTTCTTCATATATCTATGTGGCAGATTTTTCCAGAGTATTACAGAAATCATATCAGATAAATTAATGATATATCGATAACAAATTATTATAATAATTTAATACATGTCTAAATTATATTTGTCATAAAGTTGAAAAAATGGGTTGTCAAAGCATTGCTTGCCATACAGACGTGACTAAATTAGATCAGATGGAACTAGCTGTTGAAAAAACCTTGAAAAAATTTGGAAGTAAGTTTTTAAACAATTTTTTCATATTTAATTCTGCAATATATTTTAATGTTAAATTTTTAAAAAGCTATTGATGTATTGATCAATAATGCCGGTTTTATAAAGTTTCAAAAAGCTATTGATTTCTCCATCGATGATTTAAACAAAATGCACAGCATAAACACTAGGGCAGTTGCTATTATGTACAGACATTTTTCAAAATTATATACTATAAACAATTATTCGTTTTAAAGGAGTAAATTTTGCATACCATATCTTAGAAAGAGTGAAAATGGAGGTCATATCGTTAATATTAGTCCACCTATAAATTTGGACCCTTCCAATTTTCCTAATAAAATAGGTTATTTGTTTATTGAAATATAAATACTTTATATCATATATTTTTTATTGTAAATATTAGCCATTTACCTTTTAGATTATATCCGGAGTTTGGAACTGGAACCCTTGGTACCAGGACAAATTTAGGAACCAGAAACTATAACCCTCTTTTAAACCGGAATTCGAATCTATTTTAAATTTACGGGAACGTGTTTCGATTTGATGAATTTCACTATAAATCAACAAGAGTAACACGATTTTAGGCCTGACCCTTTCAATTTTTAAAATAACTTTTAGAAAAGTCTAAAATTTGCATTCAAATATAATCAGGGACGATGATATGAAAGCTCAAAGTACAATATCATATTTTTGAATTTTAAAATGCAGATACATCTGAAAATTTTTGAGTTTGATACGTTCAAATATATTTTAGTAACTTAATAATAACCCTTTATCTTATAAAAATTTAATTCATGAAAAAAATATTAAGGACAAATACCAAAAACCGGAAATGAGTATAAAATATAATGAAATCGGTACTTTTTTTCCTTTTGTTTTTTTTATATATGTCGATCTAAGATACAGGTACGTATATATAAAAAGTTAAGATGGAGATTCTCCAAGTTTTAAAGTTATGAACATTTAAACAGACAGAAATGGTCCAATTTCACTATCTAGAGCATTTTTCCAAATTTTAAATTAAAAAATTCAAAGCCCTCAAATTTGGCATGATTTTTTATCACGCTGCTTTGAAAGATAATTATTAAATTTAACTTATTTTCATCATAAAATGAAAAATTATAATGATAAATAATAATTGTTAAATTTTATAGATATACAAAATATATAATTAATTGATAAATTATAATTGTTCCATTTTAACAATTATAGTAATTATTTTTTTATGATTAAGATACCTATCTGTAAAGATATTTTTATACACTAATCGTTCTACCAGGGGCTTGACAGCAGAGTGTCTTTAAATTCCTCGATTTTTAAGAACGAACTTAAGATTTTAGCCAAAATATATTATGCGAGCCTGGAGATTCTACTCATAAATGGCAGAAAGGTTTGGACTATTATCGAAATCTCGAGGCTTACTAAATATTTTTGCTAAAATCTTAATGATAAGACGTTTAACAACAGTAGTGTTATATTTTATGAATAAACTTATTTTACTGAAATCCATACACTAATTTTTTAAAAAATTACAAAATTTGATGAGTATCAAAATTTTTATCTTCTAAGGGGTGCAAAAAAAATCTGATATTAAATTATTTGATTATTTTTCACAGGTTAACTGTTCATAATCAATTGGAAACCTTAATAGACTATTTAAAATTTACCATGTTATCGTTATCTGCGTAAAATAAAATTTTGCATGATTTATTTTTGTAAAGAAATAAACTCCGACATAATGTTTAATGAATTTAGTTCAAATATTATTATTTTAATAAAAACGTAAAATAAATTTATATCAAAATATATCTAAAAATAGCTGCCGATATATTTAAAATAGTATCTATAATATACGGATACCACATTTATATATCTGGATAATTTAACAACTTAAAATTAATTTTTAAATATATTCCCCTTCTCTTATCTATTATAATATCATACATTGAATTTAAATTTTCAGCCATTTTATATTGATTTTCGGATTTTAACTTTCGGTATTTTCCCTTAATTTTTTTCGTCAATTAAATTTTTATATAATATTAAAGAGCTATATTTAAAAATTTAATAGATTTTTCACTTTGAGCGCTCATATCTCGGCCTCTGGATTAAATTTTTCCTTAATTATGGTAGGTACTATTAGAGGTTCATCTAAGTGGGCGGGTTATAAAAATTTAAAAAACGGGCAGGCTGGCAGGTTAAATTAATTTTTAACTATGGGTGGTAAAGAAATTTTATTGTTCTTATGAACTTTTTAGGATATTAAAAATTAAAATTTCCTTTTATAATATAAAACTCATTTCTTAAAATAAATAAACTTTTTGGATATTGAAAATTAAAATTCCCTTTTTGAGCATAATGAATATTTCTGTATTGTATTATTTTATTTTAGTAATGATTGTTTATCTTTATATTTGTCCTTTTCATTTTTATTTCCTTATATAATATAAAATTTTTATTTTTTATAACATAATTTTTAACAAAAAAATATTTTTTAATTAAATTTTTAATCTTTAAATTATATTATGAATAAAGTATATATCTAAAGTAGTGTTGTAACGGCTCATTTTGAGCCGATTTTTTAAAATGCTAACTCAATATTTTAGCCAGAGAAATATTACCTTAGCCTGGATACTTCGATAATATATGTCTAGACCTTTGTTCCTTCTATGAGCAAAATCTTCAGGCTTGCTTAATATCTTTCTGGATGAAATATTAAGTTAGCCGTTTTTAAAAATCAGCTAAAAACGAGCCGTTTAACATCACTAATCTAAAGAATAAAATATATTTTACAAGTTAAAAGAAAATGATTCAGATAATAAAAAACTCAAATCTTCATTGTGGAAACAATTTAAAATCATTTTCGATGAAAATGACAAAAAGCTAGATTGGATTCGCTGTAATGATTGCGAATCCACCTATAAATATAATACAAAAGTGGCGCATCCTTCATTCTCCGGCATCAATATTCATAAACAAATTATAAAGATTTGATAGGATAATAAAAAAAAGTAACCGGATATTTCAAAAAAGACAATTCTCAATTAAACAAAACGATAAAATCGGGTCTAATTGCCAATTTTGTAGAATATTGTGCTAGAGATATTAGGTATTTTAATTTATTAAATTATTCTTTAATTTTAGGCCATTTTAAGCCATTCAAGGACCTGGATTTGTAAATCTTTTACAAAGATTTATTGATTTAAGGGCCACACATGGAAAATTGGATGTCGAAAAAATTATTTCATACAACAGTTAGTAGTAGGCACTTTGCCAAAGTTATTGAGGATCTTTAAGAAATATTATTTCCCTAAAATTAGAGAAATGATAAAAAAAATTTCATTTGCTCATGTGTGCTACTGATATATGATGTCATGATTTTACTAAAACCGATTACATATCTAATCCATTTTATACAAAATTAGAAGAAAAGGATCTTTTTATTTCACAGTTTCAAAAGGAAAAAAAACGGGAGAGATAATTAAATAATTATTAAAAAAAATTTAGAACCTTTCCTCGAAAATATTTTTCCGAGCTCATCTTTGTAACGAACCAAGGAGTTGATATTAAAAATTATCTGAAAGGAAGGTTTAAAAACACTGATAGATTATTTGGAGTCATATAAAGATGCAACTACTGCTCTTGAGGGCGACTACAGACCTACACAACAGAACGTTCTTATATGGTATTAAAATTAATATTTTGGGATTTATGCACATTTTTTCTTTATTTATAAAATTGAAAAATTTGAAATCCATAATCTCCAGAAAAATTTTAACATTTTTAATACCAAGCTTCCAATAACTGAGGATGTTGTCGTAGGAAGAAATTATTAAAGTAAAAAAACATCGAAAACATGTTGGATTTGATATGTAGAAGAATATAATATCGACATGGATGAAAATTTGATTTTACCTATTTTATTCGCTTAGCTACTTATTAAATGCAATGTTTGAAATAAATAGCATCCGCGTCAAATTTAAACCACAACAAATTTGAGGATGAGATTGTTACAGAGGAGAGCACCGTACTTAATGACATAACAAAATATTTAAATCTTAAAGTAACCAGTTTGATATGTATAATTTAGCAAAATTTTAAGCTGCTTATTATAATTAATTTAAATTTTGTATTACTTTTTTAAATTTATTATTATTGGTTTCACTTTTATTTAAAGATCTCATTTGAGGAAGAGGATATACTTCAAAAGGATATCCTACTTTGTTGGAAATGACAAGAAAAAGATTTGCCTTAGCTATCAAGATTAGCAAGAAAAATATGGCAATTTCAACTTTTGCTTCTTCTGAACGAGGATTTAGCATTGGAAGGTTTTTGGAACAAAGAAGAACGTGTTTGAATCCTTAAAATGTCGATTCATTATTATTTTTGCACTATAATTAAATAATATCAATTTTATATATATTTTTTTTTCATAAATATTTTATTTGATCAAATAAATTATCCATATAATAAATAGAATATTTCTTTTTATGCTTAATATAGTAATTTCCTAAATTATAGAAATTTTTTGTAGAGGTGTAATGCTGAAACTGAATTATTTTTTTTATTAAATGTCTAAAAAAATTGTAAGAATGTCCATAATTAAATTTTAATGGCTGGCTTGGGTTAAAAAATTTTTATAAATGGGGAGGGGTGGGGTATAAAAATTTAGACTAATAGGCGGGCGGATGGCTATTTTTTTTGAAAACTTTGACGGGCGGGTTAAATTTTTTTAAAACATTGTGAACAAGCTTATGGGCTAAAAACCCACCCAATGCAGACCTCTGGACTATTATTACACAAATTTTTTAAAAACATCAGAGGTGGTTAGGCCTAATCTAAACTCTTGTTGATCTATCGTGGAATTTTTTATATAGTATATTGAAATGTTGTCTGATTCAATTTGAAGGGTTTATTTTATTGTTTACCAGAACTTGGAACCGCGTCAAATCGAAGAACCAGAAAACGAACCCACTTTTTTTTAAATGTTCAGAACCGGAACTAGAACTTTTTTAGTCAGGGTTTTAACCTTGATTATATTTAAAACAAAAAATATATTTTATGAGATTCAAATGAAAATAATATCAAAAAACATTTATTTAGCATATACTACCACTAAATATATGACATCGATGTTGGTACTAGGTTTATCCGAAGAATTGCGAAAATACAACATATCCGTTAATGCTTTGTGGCCAAAATATGGTACGGTAACAATAAATAAATCCGATACATATCTTTTCAAACGATTTCCACTCATCATTTTATACTAGAGACCTGTATTGAACCCATTTTTTCAAGTTTGGCTCAAATTTTGCCCAGCTACAACTTTTATTTTTAGAAATTCTGATTCAAAAATAAAGAATTTATAAAAAAAATTATTGGTTTCCGGGAAATTATAAGCGCTCGATTAAAATATAAATTATATAAAAAAGACGCTATAAAAGCATAACTTGATTTTTTTGCCTAAGTCCGATTAAAGGTCCAGACGGGTTTTTATCACTTCCAATCTACGGGCGGGTTGATAAATTTTAAACATTAGGCTGGTGAGTAGGCAGATTATAAAGTATTTTTATGACAAGCATTTAGGTCCGTTGTATTAATATATGACTGACTTAAACTAAAGAATAACTTGAATTTAGTCATTGAACTCTTTTAATGCTTATGGGATTGACAAATATTTCTTTAAAAAAATGACTATCCTTGAAGCTTTTAAAAATGTCTGAGATTATTAAAAATGGAATTAATTTTTTAGTCGAAATATCAAAAACGACATATATATGCCTTCGAAGTTCAAAGTAATTTTATAGCGGTGTTCCTTTTTAATAATAAACCCACCTTGCCAAAGTAAATTATTGCCCGAGCCAAATCCGGAAATGAAAATTTAAAAATCAAAATCCGGCATACCCGATTCTTCCGAAAAGAATGTTGGTCCAGATTCAATTGAATTCGGTCGAGTTGGACAGGTAGTATATGCATATACTTAATTTATAATCTTTCTAAGAGAGTTATTTTTTATGGCAAACAATTTTTGTCTCTCATAAATTTAATTTCCTATTGAATTTTTGGCCCTAGCTTATCCTATATTATAAATTTTTTTACAGTTAAATATCATCTAAAATCAAAAAATAAAACACTCACTATAAAGCCATTTTCACTGAATCAATGTTGCAAATAGCAGGCCTCAAAAGTAAATTATTATGTCGAAAACCTGAAATTATGGCTGATGCTTGTTATTCCATAATATCACACAAGACCGATCCCTTGTTTACCGGAAATTTTTGCGTAGATGAAGACATACTACGTACATTTAAAGGCCTGACTACCTTCGACGAATATGCCTATGATAAAAGTAATTTTACTATAAAAAAAATTGTTATTGTTATTTTGGAAAAATTAATTTTATAAAGTTTTAAAACATTTTTTTAATGACTTAAAAGAGAAGTTATACTATTTATGAACAGATTATTTAAAAAATTAACACAGTTCAAAATATCTTATTTTTTTAACCATGTACACCTGCAACAAATTTCTAGGAGAGGACCATTAATATTTTAATTGATGAGGTTTTAAAAAAAATCACAAATAATAAAACATTACTGCTATTTTCAATCTCATCCGAGATAATCTGTTTAATTTTGTCGGGCTGTAATATAATAATGAAAATCCTTGTTTCGAACGATAAGACTTAAGATGGATCTTTTATTATATTTCACTTTTAGTGAATATCGATTATTCGGCATATTTTGCTCCTTTAATACTAGGTCCGAAATTTTTTAATGCTGTTTCTATTTTGTTTTTTTGGGGAGGGGGGGGGGATTGAGTTTCTAGAAATACCTTCAGAAGATTTGAATTTTCAAATAGTTTGTGAATATTCATTTTGTTTTTGGTCATTCTTTGAATTTTTAATTTTATTATCAAGTAGATTAATTAATGAGATTTAAAAAAAAATAATTTTCAGGGTAAAGGAAGATAATTCCATGTTACCTGTATATATATATCGTAGTGTATGCTGAAATTTAATGTAATCCAGGATTGCTGTAGTATTTAATAGAATTCCATTTAACACTGGTGTTTATAATGGAATCTTAATGAAATAAAATATATTTTTTAAATGATACTCCATTTCATACTAGCAAATCATGATCAGAGCTGTTAAAAAATTCTTTTTAAATGGATCTAGATACAGATACATCGTTTAAAATAGACCTAGATACAGATACATCGTTTAAAATAGACCTAGATACATATCCTACTCATTGTTTGGTAATGTATCAAGATACAATTATTTTTTTTATTAATGTACCTATATACAGATACAAATTCTATTATACTTATGTATGGTGTACATAATGTTTAATTTAGGATTCTATTGTAAAATATTCAAATTTGGAAGTGAGATAAAAAATTTATTGATCTGATATCACATTTATATACAAATATTATAATAAAAAGAATTATTTTAAGGACATTTTTAGCCATACTCTTTCTACAAGGGCATTTGACGGTAGAGTGTGTTAATTTTTTATATCATGCTAATCTCAAAAAGTTGGCGGGCTCGGCTTTGGGCCATATCAACCACAATTTTCTTAATCAAAATGTCCTTGCGGATAAAGTAAAATTATGAATTGAATTAAACATTTTTTGTTCATGATGATTAGTTTCAACTAGGGGTGTACCGATACCACTTTTTGGAGGGCGATCCGATCCGATATTCCTGATATTAAATCGATATCGGCCGATTACCGATCCGATATCATATCTAATTTTGTATTTTGTAAAGATACCAATGGTTTTAATTTTTAATATACTTTTTATTAGTATAACATCTATAATTTAACTATACCATAACATATGTCATTAAAATATATTATAATGATCAATTATAGTTTATATTCAATTCAATTAAAAGTATATAAAATATTTTTATTGATAAATCACTTATTTATATAATAAGTAATAACATTAATCTATTTACATAATAAGTAATAAACAAATATATTTAAAATTAATATATCGAAGATTTCTTTTTAGAAATACCAAAATTTCCAATTTATCAGAGGTCAGTCTGCGGCTATGGGGACTGTCAATTTCACTAAAAACAGATTCTGAAGAGATTATCGCACACTTTTATAAACAGAATGCGCAAAAAACAATATGGCAGAATGTTTATTAATTAATTATTATTTAATATTAAAAAATTAAACACAAAAATGAATTTCGATTTTATTTATAAAAATAAATGGGTTTTAGATATTAACTTTTTTTAAAAATTTTATAATATTTTATATGTGTTAAACCTTATTTTTTATAGGATCGGAAAATTTTATAATATTTGCCGATAACCGATATTTTAAAATGGGTGAAATATCGGCCCGATCCGATAAAGATATCGGTACATCCCTAGTATCAACATATAGAGCTGGACCAAAATCTGCACATGCTCTTAGGATATATATCAAAAATTTATCTAATGATTCAGTGATGTATAAAATAGATTGCCTTTTGTTCTCATAAAAAAAATCTATGACAGATTTTCCAACATTTTAAATTTATAGGATCATCTTATGTTTTTCAAACACCTTTGCCATTTAGGTCCATTTAAATTCCAACACATGTGGGGATCCAGAAAAAAGATTCACTGAGACACCTTTTGTTTTGCCTCGGAATTCACAGTATTGCAGCCAACTTCAAGCATTAATTTAATCTAGATATTTAAATTTGTAATACCTAAATAATAAAACTATCCAGGTTTCTCGGCAAATTTACTCTAGCTCTGAACTACCTGGAAAATAAATCCCTCGATTTGCGCCTCACACAAAGCATAAATAAGACCAAAATTATGTTTTTTAAAGGGAAAACCCTCAACTTTCGCGTTATAAAATAGTGCTTAAGTAAATATTAAAACCTATTAAGTTCTCCTCTAGGCAACAAAATCCCGTCAGAATAATCCCTAAATCGTGTTTTAAAAAAATTTTCTTCAACATGGAAACTAGAAAGAATTTTATCCATAATTTCAGTTCACAACACTATAAAAATTTGGTAAAATTTGACATCATATTTAATTTATTTAGTTCTCAAATTTTATTTATAGCTAGTCAGTTAAAAGAAAGGACTGAATATAGTGAACGCACAAAAAAAAGTAAAGATCCCTATAATTACTATAATTAGCGAAACACACTGCCGGCCAGTCGGTCAATATCTATAAACAGATACGAATAAAATATACAGATACTTTTTATAATTTAGGTAAGATTTGATTAAAGATAAATATTAAGAAATGATGGGTAATTTAGTAGACGAAATTTTAACTTTTAAAATTAAAATTTTTTTTAAAAAATATATTTTTGGAAAAAATGATTTATTATTTAAAATAAAATTCCTTAATTCACCAGTGTAAAATGATTTTCCATTATAATCTAGTGCAATCTGGAATTACACTAATTTAATAAACTACGACATATCTGTCAGTGTTGTTAAAGTAGCGCGCTATATATCTATTTATAAATTTTATCAAAACTTGCTAAATTTTTATTTCAATCCTTTCACATGACCAATTTTGAGAGAAATTAGTTCAATAGATAAAAAATCAAAGGGTGGTGGTCTGGCCAGCTAGCAATAATAGCTATTTATGCCACTTATCCCTAATTTTTATTTTAACTCTTATCATTTTGGACTGACCCTAGTCAGATCAGAAACACCACCTACTATGAATATCTGGATGCATTTTAATATACTTAATTATCATTTTTTTAAATATAAATCCAATTGACCATTTGATAATAAATATTTTAAATATGCTGAAAATATTGGATGAGTCAAATAGTGATGAAAAGATTTTGTACTAGAAAGGATCTTCTATTTGATAAATGGTTAAGTAAGGGGCGTTTCCAAAATTTTAATATTATGTACTAAATAAATATTAAATATATTTTATCTACGATTTTTTAGGATATGGTTTCAAATGTGTTGAATGTGAAAGGAATATTTGTAATTAGTTAATAGATATATACTTTTTAAAAGTTTGAGTTAAAAATATGAATTTTTTATTAAATAATATTTTAAAAAATAGAAAGCTACTTTTTGAAAATAGTAGCTATTCTCACGCTACTTTTTGAAAATAGTAGCTATTCTCACGCTACTTTTTGAAAATAGTAGCTATTCTCACGCTACTTTTTTCAGTAGCTTTACGGTAGCGCTCTACTTTTGAAGTAACACTTAACAACACTATACACCCCCCCCTCCCCCATAAATATATGTACAGATATCAGTTACTTTTAAAAGTACTTCGCCATCGCTACAGCTATTTTACAAAAAAATTAGCATGCTGTGCTACTCTTTAAAAAAAGTAGAGAAAGCTACTTTTTACGATTTAGAGTATTTTTTAAAATATTTTTAACGTATCTATTTCCACAAATAAAAATATAGGTATAAAAATATAAAATTTAAATATATATAATTGTTTTTTTAATGCATTTAATAATAATATATCTATAGTGACCTCCCTAAATCTAGAGATACGATCAGGAAGTATAAGTTTTGACCAAATAATCCTTCACCATTAGCACTTTAGGGCATAGCAGTATTAAATTTGACATACTTTTTATATAAGATAAATCATCAAAAATATTTGAGTATTTAAATTATGTACTTCAAAAAAAGTAGGAGGCTAAACAGCGCTTTAATAACACTGGGGGTTATTGCTTCCGCTGCTAGAAAGATCTTTTCCCTCAAAATAGAATAATTTGTAAGATAAAGCAATAACGAATAATTTTTTAATAAAATTAAATAAGACTCATCCTGAGTCTTATAAATTATACAATCAAAGTCAAATACTTGCGCCGTTGTTATATGACCAAATTATTACGCGTAAAAATACTATAATAAAGATTAATATTATATACAACAAAATAAAGAAAAATAACACCAATTATAACAGGGGTAATCCTCTATTCCCCCCCCCCTTTCGGACTTCCATGAAGCTTACAATTATATTTAAAAAATGTACATTGGGATAAAGATTCTAAGTATATTATATATATTCTTTATAAAACCATGATTTATGAAATATATCATAAAATTATTTCATTTTTATCAAAAAGAACTTATCTTGATTTTTTTTATTTGCTTAATAGATAATTCTTCAAATGGAAAATTGATCAAAGTACCATACAATCAATGATTTTACCTAACAGTTTATTTGCTTTATTGCTACCATATCACTTTCGCTAAATTACTATCACACCATTTGTATTTAAATTTTGCTCAAGTTTATATGTTTATTAAAATTCAAACATAAATAAATCCTCAGTTTATTTCATATTTAAATAAAATAGTCTTAATTAGTTTAAAAAAATATATGCCATCCGGTAATTTAGTTAATGGCCTTTTATTATCTTGTTCGTAATTTTAAATAACGGTTTTTAATAGTTTTACTCTCATTTCTACGAGTTCGTTACACCTGAATAATCGTGGGTCTTTTTTATATACCGATTGTTTAAGTTTACAAAAGAAATAGAAATTGTTTGAGGAAAATTGCGATCCATTCTCCATTAATATTGATCTGGGATTTCATACCTTGCAGATAAACGTTCTAATTTTTATAAGAGTTTATATGGTTATCTCTTTTAATAGGTCTTTCAATCCATTTACATTACACATCTATTCCCACACGCCAATAAAGGTAGTCGGTTGGGCCTGAAAAATCGAAATTTATTTGCAACGCATGTGGCGGAGTGTTTTAGAGTAGTTGTTACATGTAAAATCGACAGCGTTTTATGGATATTCCAAATCAAATATAATTTTATATAGTTATTAAATATATTGTGAGGAATAGTGCAATTAATTTTTTTAAACTATTAGTTCCGGAGTATATAGAGGACATCTCCAAAACACATCACCCTGTTTATATCATGAAATATTCCGTGGTCCTCTAAACGAGATCGCAAAGGCATTTTCTATCTTAAAAGCTTCCCAAACAATAGGCCTTTCGCTCATACTAGCTGAAAACTGAAGTCTGTCACACTTATATTTTATCCAATTCAGTCATAATGTATATATAACCGAACTCTCATCTCTAACCGTCGGTACCTCAATTAGCGGTCTGGATTCTATCAATAAATATTTAATCTTCTTTTTAAAAACATCTCCATCCTCATTACCTCCTTTTTCAATTTCTTGACTCTTTAAGATCATTTGAAATTTCCATCTAGGTTAAAAATAATTCCTAATCCTTTCTATTCACGGATTTATCGCCCCCCTCCGTCACTCAACCGGACCTCATATTTGCCACCCTTTTCGCTGACCACTTGTTAGATGAAGCCCAAACCATATAAGGAAATTTAGTTGTCCCAAACCGAACGGCGTATAAAGGCTTTGTCGTATACCTAAAATCGAGTCTTCATGGCGGCAATCTCACATATCATTTATCCTAAGGATCGGTTCAAATTTTTGAAAGCAATATCCTTTAAAAATTTGAATCTGCTCCTCACAGCAGACGAGTTAAAATTTGCTATTTGATTACTGCTTAATTGCGAAATTGTTTTTTCTTACCACTGTTAAACACTGTATAAAGCAATCTTTACTGCTAGGATTACATACCAAATAAAATTATCTATTTTACCTGACTTAATCGTCGGGCGTTTCTTCTAGACTCGGACCAACCGACATCTCTAGAACCGTCGGGAAATATCCAAACACCTTCAATGATCAAAAATGCCCAACCGAAACAAAGTTGATGTATCATATAATCTTAGAAAATCATCTTACACATTCATACCCATCATCAAAAATGCCCAACCCAAACAAAATTTATGTATCATATAATCTTAGAAAATCATCTTACACATTCATACCCATCGCTTCCTCTACTCTAAGTTGCAAAACTCAATTTGATAAATTAGGTTGACGGATCCACGAAAGGACATTCCAAGGAATCCAATTTTTTTACTGCAAAGGCTTTCTACCAATTATTCCTCTAAACTACGTTCGCTTTATCTCTTACAGTGAATCTCTCATTCTTTCTCCAACATTTCTTCCTCTCCCTATCAGCAAAAATTTGTATTTTTGGCGAAAATGTCATTTGTCAATTATCTGCATGACACCCATTTTTCTTTTTCTTTATTTATTGCATCGCGGTTTAACAAAATTTTGGAATTCAGTTATTTTTAAAAAATAAACCCATCTCGTTAGGAAAACCCCATATTTATTTGAAGGCTTAGGCGAAATTATTTTTCTAGATTTTATGAACAATATCAAGAAATATTTGAATATTTCGTCCTAAGATTCAAGAATCTTTGCCAGTTATGGACTATTAACGAATTTGAATATTACTAAAATTTACTTTTTCGATTAAGTAATAATTTGAAATTATTCGTTAAACTTTTTATTATTGTATTCAAATCGAATAGTTATTCATGATTAAAATATTTTTTAATTTTGTTTATATAAGTAAATTTATATTCCTATAAAAATCGTTTATTTATTTAAACCAAAATAGTGATAAGGTAGATTTTTTATTTTAATCTATATAACTAATTTAATTTTATATTTGCCAAATTACAACTGCTTGCAAGTTCAAAAATGTATAGCTGATAATAAAATGTTGCATATCTTTTCATACTGAATTTTATTATAAGCATGTCTGGTTACTGCTCTTGAAATTATATATAATAGGCGTTAGCAAAAAGAAACCAAAATTACATTATGGAAATAAATATCAAAATGTCATTTTTTACAAGGTCAGGCAAATCTTTTATTTGTTAAAATATGATTTATTTTTTCAAATATGTCGATATAAATTCGAAACAGCTAGCACGATTAATTTTATTAGGTTTCAAGAAATAGTCTTGAAATTTTATCTGTAAACAATAAAATATATAATTTATTCATATTTAAAAAAAGATTAGGCTTTTTATTTGCAAATTTTTTGTTTACTTTTCAATAAATGAGTTTACGATGCGATTTTTTACTAAAAAAACGATAAACTATTTTGCCTTTACCAATTACAATATGTAATTGGCTTTTACACGACGGTCTGAGACGTTTGGACGGCCCCTTAAAAAGACGATTTACCTTAACTTATTTCAGAGACCTGCAGAGGTTCCATTTGCAGGGCCCGGCCCGGATTTTTTTTCAAAAATTTTTTGCGGCCTGGCCCGGCCCGGATTTTTTTTCAAAAATTTTTTGCGGCCTGGCCCGGCCCGGATTTTTTAAAAAAAATGGAATTAAAAATTATATTCGACCTGGTATATACAAAAAATTCATCTATTCCGTATTTTATCATATTTTTCGGCGAGTATTATCAATAATACACAAGCATATTAGCTAATGTTCGAAGCCTCGAAATTTCGATACTATATGTCTAGACTGTGTTAGCCTTTTTTAAAAATCGGCTCAAAACGAGCCGTTTAACACTATATTTTTTATATTCTAAACAGATATTTATTATATTAAAAATTGATACTATAAAAAATTTGTGTAAATAATATAACATATATTATTTAATAATGTATTTATTACCTATTATCCTTTGCGTATTTATTCCATGGCAGGAAAACTATAATTATATTATGTAATAGATACGATGAGTGCTAGCTACTGTTAACTTTCACCTAACATTATATTAATCATAACTATATAATCATTATAACTATATCTAATTGACGAATATAATAATTCATGTATAAAAATTTTACGGCCCGGCCCGGGTATTTTTAAAAAAAAGTTTTCAGGCCCGGCCCGGGTATTTTAAAAAAAACGGGCTGGGCCTGCAGGTTTCTGGCTTATTTACATAGTGAGAATTAAAAGCATAATTTTATTAAATTTTAATCATAAATAGTGCACATTATAAAAATGAATATAATCAAAGACTAAAATATTGCGATTTTATTTATACTCCTCCCCTTTTTATTTGCAAAACGGTATTATGTCGGTAAAATCTACTGATCAGGCAATATCATTTTACATTGAAATTAAAGAGAGATTAGCATATCGGTATTGTGAAATACAGCCTCGTAGATAAGTTTTAATTAATTTGAGCTTTGAGAAGCTGCATTCTGCGGATGCCACGGTAATTATGATTAAGATAATCTTTAATACAATTGATATATTTGGGAATGTCTTATTTAACCAATTGGTGTTAATATATAAAACCAGATGGCAAGAGTTACCAAAAATGGAAATTATTATTTTGGCCAATGAAATATCTCTGTATTGCATTTAGGATCAAAGGTCTGAAACTTGCATTTTATATAATATACATCAAATTAAACCCTTAATAGTCGATTCTAAATCTTAATTAAAAAAACAACTTGATCAAGTTTTAAAATGATTAAAAGTTTACCCCAATTAAAGATATATGTATTAAACTAAGACTATAGAGCAAACTTTTTTATTTTATAATAGATTAATCAGAATATCTAAAAAGTGACTCATAGCTATTACAGCTACTACCAAAATAGGCAGTTAATAGAAATCGGTTTAAAAAAATAAATTATTAATCTTTACTTACCAATTATCTACAGTTTCTTCGCAAGATTATTTATAAATACAAAAAAAAGAAAATTTCAATAAAAAATAAATGAAGTTTTTTTACTAAAAATTGAATTAAATATTTTGTTATAATACATATGGCTAGAAATGCCAAAACCTTTCCCAAAATTCATACTTGGATTTTTTACAAAAAAAGAAAAATGTCTTAAAATATTCCTTTGTTTTCAAGAGACATAAAATAATTGAGCAAAATTATAAAATTTAGTGGCCCCTAAAATTGTCTATTCCTGAAACCCACGCCCCCTCTCCTTTTGCACGTGGTAGGTTTTTAATGAAAGGCATCTTTTATCTTGATACTGAGTACTGACAACCCAAAAAAATAACTTCACTTTTACCACCCTAAAAATAGAAATTTTTTGCTGCTACAAGTGTTTTTTTGAACATATATATCCGATTAATTATCACATATATGGGCTAGGGTTATGTGTTATTTTAAATGAGTAATTATCATGTCATACCTAAAAAAAAATTCTCAATAGTGCTATTTACTAACCGAGGTAATGTAGAGTATACGAGCCAATATATTTTCTATCCAATTTGTTTTACACAAATGTTTGAACTTTTATATAATGCCACAGTCGAAGATTATCTATGTTTATTCATTACTTTACTCATTATTCTATTATTAAGGTTTGCATGGAAATCTACTTTTGTAGCTGTTAGAATTCCTCAATCCTATGTGCCTCACGAGATTAGTGGAGAAATCCCTTCAACTTCTTCACTAAACAGTGAAAATATATATGAATATTCATGCCACAATAAAAATGATTACTACATAAGTAAAATATTAATGAGCTTATTTAACTTACTTTTTCTTTTTTAGCTCAGAATAATAAAGATACAAATATCAATAGGAAGGATATACCAAAATATTCAATACCGCTGTTTTTAAAATTCTATGATGATTCTTCTGAAAAAGTGTATGTTGATTCAGATGAAACAGTATCTCATTTTCAAAAGTATATTTTATAAATATAACAAATATACTAGTTTAATTAAAATTATATATCTTAATGATTACAACTTTTAAATTAAATTAGATATTTTGAATCTTTTAGAGGTTTCAAGTTGAATTACCAATAATTTTTTAAATTGATATCAAGTCATTGGCATATTTAAGATTATATCAATCAGGCATTTAAACTCCTGCCCCTTTCCGGCAGTATTATTTTAAAATTTATAAATGAATCCGAACTATAGATCTGTAATAACCTAATCGTTAAAATTTTTTTACAAATTTTCCAGCCATTATGTTTTTATATTCTATATCTAATTTTTATATACAGGGAGGCAAATTTTAAATATAAAAGAAATACAAAATAAAAATGCATTTAAATATAAATAGCAGTTATTAAAAGATGTTTTTTAAATAAATTTAAATACAGATACATAGTCTATAATGGATCTATACACTGTTAGATTTGTAAAAAAAAATATCTGTATAAAGATACATTTTTTAATTATTATATACAAGATTTGCCTTTTTCAATCAGAAACTCATATTATTAAAATGTTGTTTTTATATTTTGTTCTCATTTATTTTGAACTTCATATCAAAAATAATGTCAATATCCCTATTCTTATTGTTCTTTCTAGCAAATTCTCATTAAATTGTTTTTAAAAATTCTAAATAAAATTATTTTCTTTAAATAATTTTGTGTGGCATTGTTGCATAAAAGTATATTATAAAATAATCTTAAAAAATTAATTTATAGCAAATTTATATTTATATTGTTTTAATAATTAATGGGTGTCATGGCTAAACAAGGATTTATATATTTCTTTGCATGAGATAAATATCTTCCACAATCTTGAACTAATATCTAGCTTTAAGGGGGAAATAAATATTGCAATAATTTCATCAAAATGTTAAATTATTATTGTCTGCCTTTATAGTTAGTTTCCCTTTTTCATAATTCATTTTAATAAAATTAAAGCCCTCTTTTGGGGATATATTTATTAAATTTTAAAATTGAAAAATAAAATTTGAGTTGTAATAATCTAGTAAATATATTTTTCCCTATTAATATTAAATAAAAATAGATTTATATAAAATATTTAATCTATATTTTTTTAAAAAATTGTGTAAAATATCAAAAAAAATGTTTCTGAAAAAATTGTCTTAGATAATTCTAAATTTTAATTAGATTTACATATAACATTGTTTTGTTTAATATTATATTAAATTAAACTATAACTAAAGAATTAATATAAAATATATATTCTTATAAAAATAAAATATATATATTTAGAGATCAAATCCTAATTAATAATCAAAAATTGAGTAAACCATAAATAATGAAAAAAATTCAGCCATATCAAATAAATGAAAACAAGCCAAAATTAACTTTGGTGGAAAATCAAATTTTGCAGGTATCAGCAAAGATAAATTAGATTCATAGATTATTAAATATGTAATAAATTAAAATCATCCATTTTCAACTGCAATCCTTAAAGAATATTAAATTTAAAAGTATCTAAATTAATTTGTCAGATAATAAGAGAAAAATTGTTAGAGCCCAATTTTGATTGCACAACAGCTGACTGCCAGACTGCATTTTAAAATTTTTATATCCTAATTTTTTATATTAAATAAATGATTCGTTATATAAATGTTGTATTAAGTAACTTATAATTTAACTAGTTACTTTCGAAATTTAATTGTAACTAGATAATTTTTACGTATGTATTTAGTAACACCAGTTATGTTTCAAAAGTAATTTTTAACAACAAAAATTTCGAATATATTTTCCTTATTCGATTACAATTTTCAAATTGAATAATTTTGTTATTCCTATTCGTAAAATACGAATCAGATTAATAAAATTGAATAATGAATTATTCGTTTTAGGTATACCCTACCCTTCCCTAAAAATGAGTTCAATATGTCATTATTAACCCTATATGGCCTAATGTTAAAATTATAATTAACATACCTAAAACGTAAATTTGTTGATAAAATATTTTAAACTATATTTCTAAGTGGATATTATAAAAAAAAAACTATTTTAGATTATAAAATGTATACTTCAAAGTATGATGAAAAAGACTAGCTAATAGTATCTCGAAATAAAATTCCCTGATAATTTTTAAAATAATTATCAAAGATAACCCTCCCTTCTCATCAGAAAAAAATGATGTCACCTAAACATATGCTTATGCTAGATACCAACCAAACTGTCTATAAATAAGAATCATTAACTTTATGCTTCATATTTCTTTTTATGATAGAATAATAATTTGATAACTTTATTAACCATCATTCCATGCATTTAAAATATACGAATACATACTTATTTCATTTACCTAAACTTACAATAATATTTTATATACCAAATAGCCATTATTTCTCGCATCAACTTAATCAATGTTATACCGTAAAACTCATTTTCCATGGCCAAATCTTGAACCCCTCTATTCGTTTTGCTGAAATTAATAAACTCGATTCCGAATCCGTTCTTCAGTGCCATTTGTTGCCAAAAGAAGCAAGTAACGATCTATTATCTAACGAAGAAATATCGGACATAGAAAATGGAGCGGATGAAACCGTCAAGGATATCGTGTTGCCTTATTTATCATCTCAAAAATCATCATTTTTCCATGGCTACCATCACCCAATATTTTCTTCCTTGGCGCAAAGACACAAGAATCTTGTAGCCCTTATTTACGATACGGGCAAGAAAAATGTTTGGTTTATAATAGTTCTGTGGGTGCTCATTTTGGCCTGGTTCCTTAACTTTCTCTACCTTAGATACGTTAGTTCTATTTTTACCCTTTCACTTGTTTCGGTCACAGTTATAACCCTGTTTTTACTTATCATAACGGTTTTGGAACCTTCGACTTGAAAAAACAAAAGGCATTATACGTATTACATAAATTAAATATAAATATTTTACTTAAAGGCTCAATTATTACCATAAAATAATACATTAATCTTTGTCACTAGGTTATTATTATTATTCGACATTTATTAAATAGTTTTTTAATAATTTAATATTATAAAAAATTTGTCGTCCTAGAAATCTTCCATAATATATTAATAATATTACTAAATTAATTTATTTTTAATATATAAATATATAGTACATTAATAATTTGATTATTTTCACGGATATTCATCAATTATATAATTATATCGATAATAAAATAGCATAACATAGTCTTATACAAAATGTTTTCTATCTTTTATAATTTTGTCATTTAAAATAAGAATAAGGAATGAAAGGTATGTATTTATAATTTTTTAATATTTTGGTGCTTCTCTTTACGTAAAAATAAGTCTATCCTACGACTCCCTGTATAAATGCCACAAATTGCCCACCTGCATTATGCTACATTTAAAACGGTAGGTGAGACTATGGAGCATTCGAGCCCTAAAAAACAAGCATCAATAAAATTAATACCTGATGAATTGGTTGTTTAAACATATTTTTTGTTCAAATAAAGAATAATTTTATGTAAAATAGGGTTTAATCTTTTATATAAGAAAGATTGGATAATTAAAGCCTTTATTATTTTTAATTTTTGAAAATTGCAGCATTTAAAAGTTACTTCTGAGCGTATAGACCACATATTATAAAATTTATGTGATCCGATATTAAAAAAAATTATAGCCGCATATTTAGTTATAGATATTTTGTTAAAAAAATTAACCATTGAGTACTTAACAAAACCCTAAGACTCGCAAAAACCTAAGCTAATAAGATCCCCAGTCTCCCCTACACAAAAATCTAGGATCATAGCAAAATCGCTAAAAAATATATAATGTATTATTTTAGGATAGAAACATTTTTGATTTTTCAGACTCAGATTAAGTAGATGAGGTTTAAAAAATTTTTTAACTAAATTACTTTGAATATTTAAAATATACTATTAAAAGTGCATCTGTCTAATTCCTTTTGTTGCCATCTTTAGAGATTTCAAAATTTTTACCATCGGTTTCATTTCATTTATAAAAATTTTCATCTTAATTAGCTAAATATTGACAAAGGTGGGAAACATACCTTTACAGCAGTGGTTTAAGATTTATCTTAAAAAAATTATAACTAAAAAAAAATTAGTCTGATCTTTGCTATAAGAGGAATTGTCATTACATCAAGTTGGAGTATAATTTAAAGGGATAAAGCACTAATGCAAGCGACATTCAATTTTCATATGAAAAATAACTTGTGATTGATGTTTTCAATTTTAAAAAAAAAGAATTTTAATTTAAATACAATATTTTGTCTTAAATTTTAAATAAATTAAACCTGGACTAAAAAAAATGCTGAATATCTTTAAAAAATAATTCTCTCGTCAAGGCCTCTCAATGAGTAATTTAAGAGCACTGAAATTCAATTTTTTGGCTTGAGTTCAGTCCTATTAGTTTTTAAGCCCGAGCTGAATTTATTTAGGCTGGAGCCTGGCCCAGCTTAAAATCTTAATTTAAAAAAACGAAAACTCATTTTCGGCCACAAAATGAAATATAAATACTGTTAATATCCATTTTAATTTAATCCTGCTTCCACAATTGAAAATTTCGATAAAAAAGTCCTTTATTTATAAATTATAATAATCAAGATTTAACTTTATTATAAGACCATAAATAATTTTTACCTAAAAAATGATTAGAACCTCATTGTTGATACAGAATTCTAAATCTTTATAATACATATTTTATTAAAATCTTTAAAAATATACATATATATATATATATCAAGATGATAAAAACGTTTAATGACAATTAGTAAAGTGGGTAAAAATGAAAGAAATACTTAATAAATTTTATGTAAGCGCATGTACGAATAAATAATATAATGATATCACACAAATTTCGCACTTATAGCAAAATATTTTAAGAGAAGTGCACTTAATTAAAAAAAACTTTATTTTATAATGGATGCTCTCTCTTTGCAAGTAAAAAATGATTAAGAGTTATCAAATTTAAACATTTTAATAGGTATCAATAAAAAATATTATAAATACTCGTTTGTATAAAATAGCAGGGTGCAATAATTTTATATTTCTTGGAAGTTTTTTCAATTGCATATTATGTATTATTTTAATGGAGCGGATGAAATGCACAAGGTAATTAAATTTATTATAATTATTTATATGATATAATTATATATGTCATATAAGCTTATAAAATATATAACAATTATTCATATATATAATAAACATATAGGATCTTGATGTTCTATGCATTATCCACTTTAAATCAATATTAATTTTATAAATTAGACGAACTTTGTCTAAACGACATATTGGTATGTATTATTGTCACCTTCCATTCTAGCAATGTAATCTTTTTCTATAAGGATACTTATACAATTCTAAATAATTAAAAATCAGAGTAAAAAACATTTTAATATATAATTAGGATTTTATTAAAAGTTAAAAAAGATTATAGTCTCCTATATAAAATAGATCTGATTCATTTAGAATGTTATATCCGATAATAGAGGGCTGTAAGTTGGTCGAGGTTGGACTATATTCTACCTTATTCTACTTTTAAAAAATCATCTAACAATTCTCGTACATAATTATTGAGATAAATTATATTAAAATGAGCTAGAATATTATAATCAATGTGAGAAAGTGATCGTTTTATTGAAAAAAAGAATCTCAAAATTAAGAGGCTAATTCTTATGATTTCCAGATTTGTTAGTGCGCTACTCGGTATCTTTTTTGGTAACTAATAGCGCACTACTTTTTTCCCAATAATTTATTTTTTTAGCATGCTCCTTTTAAAAATATAATGAATGTAACAATAAACATTAAAATTTAAATATAATATAATAATTAATTATGATTTTTATTATTTAATATTGAAATTTATATTTTCAATTTCTATTCTAAACCTAAATCATCCGGTGTAAATTATTTAAAATGTCATAGCAAAAAGATATCCAAATCGATGTAAGTGAGTCAGACAATTAGGATATTAATTAAATGGAAGGTTCCCTGGAAGAAAATGTTCTTGATAACAATAATACAAATTTTCCATTTCCAAAATTTGAATAATATTTTCAAATTAATGTAAAAACAAAAGGTGGCTACAATTTGTTCCAACTTTAAAAAAAATATATCCTCAAATAAATATAGCAGCTATAACCTCAAATCACCTGAACGTAATTGTCATTTTAAATTCTAGTAGTATTTTATTTTGTAATACATGTCAACAGTTTTAAAGAGATAGAAAAACATCTTAATAATTTTGGTATAGGGGAGACTATATCCACACCAATTCAATTAAAGCCAAATTGATTAATATTTTTCAGAAACTGGCTAATAAAGCTATTGTCAATTTTATATTCGATAGAGAGTCCAGTATACAAGGGAAAGGTGCTCCATTTTGCGGGTCTTATAGAGCTATTATACTCTTGGAACATGATATGAAAGTATTTGAGAGGGTGTGAGAGAAGCGGATAATGGAACAAATTAAAATTGATGAAATGCAGTTTGGTTTTACATCGGGGAAGGGCACGTCAGATGCAATTTTTGTGGTGAGAAAAATATAGAAGTATCTTGCGAAGGAAAAGAAAGTGTATTATGCGTTTGTTGATTTGGAGAAAGCATTTGACAGAGTGCCCTACTAGATGAGCCATGAGAAAATCAGGTGTGGAAGAATGGTTGGTTATGGCAGTGATGTGGGAGCACAAATTCCGGTTCCGACGGATGATGGAGATAGTGAAAGCTTTGAAGTGAAGGTAGGACTTCATCAAGGATTCGTGCTAAGTCCATCATTATTTATCTTAGTAATGGATGTGATGGCTAGAGAAATGCGTGAAGACTTCCCTGGAAGCTATTATATGCAAATGATCTTGTATTAATGGCAAACAGTGAGGAAGGTTGAGGGATAAAATTAGTAGATGGAAGATGAATGGAAGCAAAGGGCTTGAAAATGAATGCAGCAAAGACAAGGTGATGATTGGTTGAGATAATGGAAATGGAAGAATCCGACAAATGGCCTTGTGGTATATGCGGGAAAGGAGATGCTAGAAATTCAATCCAATGCACAGATGCCAGAAATAGGTGCATAATAGGTGTAGCAGGAAAAAGGGAAATCTGATGCCAGCAAGAATGTTCTATATTTGTAGAACGTGCATAAAAGGGATACATAATACTGATAACGTCGAAAATGGTGTGGTTTGGATATTAGCAATGGGTTAACCCTCGGGAAAGTGGAAGTTTTGTTATTTGGGTGATATGCTAAACGCAGATGGTGGTGTAGATTCTACTGTTGCAAAGGTCAGACGACCAAGGAAGAAGTTCAGAGAGATGTTGTCTATTCTAACAAATAAAAAAATTTCTCTGAAGTTAAAGGGGGGAATTTTACGTAAGCTATGTAAGGAGTTGTTTAGTTTATGGCGGCGAAACATGGGCAATGAAAGCGACCCACGAAGCCAATTGGAAAGAAGAGAGATGAGGATGATTAGATGGATGTGTGGGATATCGAGAGAAAAACTAGCAAGGAATTGCGAGCAAGATTGGGTATAAAGGAGTAGTAATGCGAAGAAATAGACTAAAACGGTTTGGGCAAGTGGAACGTAAGAGAAAAGATGACTGGGAAAAGAGATGCACCTTAATGTAAAAGGATCAAGACCTAGAGGAAGGCCCAAGATGACGTGGATAAATTGGGTTTAACAACTCTGATGATTTCCCAATAAAATTATATATTATATAGATATAATTTATTATATTTGGAAAAAACCATAAATAATTGAAATTGACCAAAAATCACCATATCAACTCAAGAATAAAAATTTAATCTTATTGTTTCATGATATTTTTATTTCATACTGTGCTCCTAAAAAATACAAAATGAGGAGATGAAACAAAATTATTGTGGTAAGAGACCAAGTTTAACAAAAATTTTATATATCATTTATATTTGACCTTGATAGTGGTGACACTGGGCTTGAACCGGGCTGATAGCTGATTAAAGAGTTCAGCCATCAACTGTTGATGTTTTAGGACTCGTCTCATCTTCATAATTCTAACGATAGCCGCTTGAACCACCATTTTGCGGTCCTCCTCTATGTCCTTGTGAGTGCTCTCTTGTTCGAGTTTAAGTTCCGTGCGCATGGGAAGGTTGAGGTTGACGCGTAACTTTTTGCTAAATTTAAAAAAAATACTCCTTTAATAAATGTATTTCAGTACTATTTATTTATATCAAAGTAACATTAATTAATCAAGTTTTTTCCTCTAAAATAAAAAATTAATTATTATTTTAACAATAATATTAATTTTATATTAGAAAATGATGTTTCGGAAAGTTCAACTTCCTACTTTGTAGGGCCCTAATGATTCGATATTAGCTAATAATCTTGGGCCAAAAGTTGAATTGGACCTTTCAAACGATGATATTCCACCATGATTATTTAAGGTAGATTTATTAAAATAATGGTTAATACAAAATCTATCATTTAATTCGTGTTAGTCTTCATAATTATACTATTTATATCCTTTGTATAACGAGATTTGTGTTTCGGAGTTTAATTTAGATTCGATAAAATTTTCGGTGCTTTCGATACCTTCTGCTAAGAGAAGTTTTGATTTCAAAAGAATGGCCAAAATTTGAAGCAAAATTTCCTGGATTTAATACAAAAAAAAAAGAATGAGAAATTATATATATAGTTGTGATCGGAATGTCGAACCAAAATTCTAAAACCAAATGAACTATATAAACCGGTTTAACCGGGTTCATATAGGTTATTATTTATGAATATTGATTAATATAATTTGAAAAATTATATAATTTATTTCCATCTTTTCTCTTAGTCTTTAGTATATTTATCTCTAGGCGTTATTTTTTTAAACTATTCTGGATTATATTATGTAAATGTTATAATTTACCATTATAAAAATAAAAAGTATAAATCATTTTTAGGAAAATGGCATATAAGGTGCTTTCTATTTATCTCTCTTAAAATGCACGATTGAAATAAAAGAAACTGAATACTACATTTGCCAATTTTTTCCAATAAAGGGCGAGAAAGCTAAAAAAAAATCATGCATTCCGTGTATGTCTATAACTTGATCCTAGATATTATATATTATCGTTATATAACAAAATAACAGGACTAGACAAAATTTTATAGAAAGTTGACATGTAATTGAGACATGTGATGGTGAAATGATATATAATCCACTTCCTTCCATTATTTCAAGTCAAATATTTATCCCGACCACGAAGATGACTTTCAATTTTTATTACTAATGAAAGAAAATAGCAAATGTCAAAATATGCCAAACAAAATAAAAAAATCTTATAAACGGCATTGAAAAGGAATAACATCGATATTTTTGCATATTGGGAAGGAAAAAAATTAGAGCAACCCGAAGTCTATCTATTAGCAATAATAACCATATCTGTCCCAGCTATACAGGTTAATTGAAAGAACATTTTTAAGATTTAAATATATTCCATCATCTAGGAGAAAAGATTGGACAGGACAATTTTATATACAAATGGAAATTGAAAATAAAATTTCGGATTAGCCTTAAAGGGTTTTATTTTTATTATTCCTTATATCTATCAAAGTAAGATTTAAATTATTTATTAAGCTATATATATGGGTATCTAATATAAAATATAAAAATTATTCAACCTCTATAAACTTTTATTTTAGGGTTTTTGAACCTGAACCGACCTATATAATATTTAATAATTTAATCTAAACAGAAACTAAACCACAATTAAAAAAAAATTCTGGAACCTGAATTGAATCGAACCCATATATCAAAAGGTTCGACACTGGTTGTGATCCCTTAATAAGAAAACACGATACAAGAAACGATCGTATAAGAGAAGTAAATTTGGTTCTAATCAGCATAACGGGTACTAAAATATACAAACATACAAAAAAATGCAAAAGCTACTTACAATGCTTTTTTTTGTAATGGAACTTAAAAAATTCATTAAGTGTTTATTTTTCATCTTCAACATCCATAAGACTAATAAAAAAAACAACCTCAAATAAAGTGTGGGTAATAATTAATAGAATGGGCTTTTCATTTAAATAGATAAAAAAAAATTAAAATATACCCGGGCTGGGCTTAAAAATTTTTTTATATATCCAAGCTGGGTCTGAAATATTTTTTTTAAATATACCCGGGCCGGGCCTAACCGAGCTAAAAAAAAATTAGAACCAGGGTAAGGAACTTTAAGTCGTGGATGCCTCTAGGTAGGATGACCGAAGGAGTATTTGACCTGGTCAAATACGGCAAAATACTCTAAAATGTTATTGGTGAATAAATATATTGATTTAATTAACTAATATGTATTTAAAGCATGTTTATCAATCTAATTAGGTTAAAATTTATTTTAAAACATATTTGTTATCAAAGCATCGATTTAATTATAATTTTATATTCAAATATAAGATTTTCATATTAAAATATTAGAATTTTATTTTGAAAAATAAAAATAAAAGAATTTTTTTCATTATAAATTTGATTGAATCTCAATATATAAATAAATATAATAATTTTGCTAAAGCATGGTTTGAGAAAATTACTAATTGCCAATTTATATTACATACAATTATCCAAACAAGATAGGCATCGTCAATAAAATGTAAGGAGCAAATATAAATCTGCAAGAAAGCTCTGAAAGCAGCTGTTGAAGAAGTTGAATATTTGTCCAAAAGAAGTTACCAAATAAATTAAATGAAGAAATATTATGGAAACCTTTCAATTAATGAAGGGGAAATGCAGTAATGTAGGAATATATTGTAATATACTATTTATACATTATGAATTATTATATTCGTCAATTAGATATGGTTAAAATGATTATTATTAATATAATATTGAGTGAAAGTTGGCACACCCATAGCATGTAATAAATGCCAGCATTTAAAAGCCCTTTATCAAGATATAGAAATCCGCTGGAACTCTAAATACAATATGCTCAATAGTGTTTATTCACAAAATGAAGAAATTATAAAAGTTCTTCAATGGATCGGAAAAGTATTATATTATAATTGAATCTTGTCAATATTCTTGAAAATTTCCACAGAGCTATTGTTGAGTTACAGTAGGACTCTTGCACTCTTTTTAAAGTGGTAACTTGGTATTATAAAATTCTTGAAGTTTTTTATACCAATCAAAGCGATAAAATTGATTCTAATTGATATAGCATTTTTTAATTGAAAAATTTGTTTTACATAAGTATCATTTTATCCCTCTTTTTCTTTGTCCCAAATTCATTACATTATGTATGTAATCAGGGACAGATCGCAAGAAGATGGAAAACTGAAGTTAATGAATTAACATTGACAAGTCGAATTACGGCTGTTGTTAAACAAACTCAATCGTTTTAAGAAAAATGGGGCAATGGTAATTCTGATAATATGTCAATACCCGATGTTGAATTTAATAATTACCTAAATATAAAAATAGATGAAACATTTAAGGTAGATAATTTATTAGTGGTAGGCGGCTCATCGAAGCCAATTTCCAATTTTGGCAAAATGGGTATTGGCAATTCCTGCTTAAACTGTGAGCGGAATTTTTCTACTACTGGGAGAATTCTTGAGGAAAGAAGTAATCTTCAATCTGTTCTTCATGATAATTTGTAAATTTTTTATATCTTTCTTGAGTATAGGGTTTCGTCATTCATGCTAGTTATGCAAACTGTCAAATATTTATTGCATTTGTTATATTTTATCTTGAGTCCTGAAAGTTTTTTTAATCCTACATTTTTCATTATTTTTTTTACAATATTATAATACAATTATTTTCTTTTGTTAAATTATATTATAAAATAATTTATATTATATTGTGCTAAAATATTATATTCTCAAAATACTATTTACATACATGCATTTTTTTAAATAGCGATTTATTTTTATTTTATAAATAGTAAATACAATATATTATATTCTCAAAATATTATTTACTTCCATTTTTATAATTAGCTTTACCATGCATTTTTTAAATACCAATTAAAATGATCACAAATACAATCTATTATATACTCAAAATATTATTCACAAAATTTTTTTACAGTATCAATTTGTAATATACTAAATATCTATTTTGATTAAAAAAAATAAAATGTGTAATATGTTTATTAAATGATAATACTCGCTGAAAAATAACATAAAATACCGAATAGGTAAATTTTTGTATATACCAGGTAGAATATAGTTTAAAAAGATTCCGGAACGGGGCCGTACAAATTATACCTCTGCAGGTCTCTGGAGAAAATGATTCTCAAATTATAATATAGTTTATATAAAGTTAATCAAGCTCTTTGGTTTTATATAGAATCCACCTTTAGGACGTGATAGGTCAGAATAGACCGGAGGTGATATTTTATAGATCACTAGCAATATATATAGGTGAAAAAAACAAGAAATAATTCATTTTAAGGTTAAAAAATTATACCATTTTGATTTGAGTGTTTTCTTGTATTTGACGAATAGATAATTTTTCGGAATTATTATATTGCAATATAACCGCCATTTGGTATGTGGATACCTTGAAAAAAGAATAAAAAATTAAGTGATTATTAACTGTAGCTTAAGGTATTTTCATTTTCGTGGGTAAAATATTATAAAATTCTGCAAGAAAATTTTGTAAATCAATTGGCTGGTTTAAAAAAAATCTTTAGAATTTTTGTTAGATTTAAAAAGTTTCTATTACATCCCGGATAAAAAGTTAAATAAACAATTTTATTATAATGATGAAACCTAGATGAGTCTAATTAGCTAGATCTAACATAGATGAATACCAACTCAGGTATTTTATTAATTTATAATTATAGGCATATATCGAAAAAGAGTAATAATGGCTCGCATATATAAAAAAAAATCTATTGTCTGGCATAGTCATGAATGACAAATCGGAAATGTGAGTTTAATAAGTTATCTGGGTTTTTCAAAAGGCATATCTAATTTAATATCGATCAAAAAAGCATGTTTGGACGACTCTTTCCGATTTTTATTAAATTTAGTATATAAACTAGGGTTCATGGTATGTATAACTATGCATAATTTTGACCTAACTTTTATACTTTTGGAGATAACCTATTTACTAGAATCGGTTTTTTATTTAATTAATGAATGATTAAAATTATAAATATTACAAAATTGTAGAAATAAATATAGCATCCAAAACAATATTTCAAAATCTCAAATAGAAAAAAGGTTGCTCCGATTTTAATAAAAATTTTAACAAATATTTCTATTCTATATAAATATATTTAGAAAGAATATAAATATATCCATTTGTATATTAAACGGACTGTAACCCGTTTGTTCATATTTTTTTTTTGGGGGGGGGGGGGGGGTTATATCTATCTAGCCCATACTAACGTGTTGATCAGTATTAGTGTTGTTATTATACTTATGAATAAAAATAAATTATTACCTGGAAAGTGTATTTGTTCTTGAAACAATTACTGACAATTTCACCTTTGGATAAGTGATAAAGCCAGGTCAATTTTCTACCAGTGTGTTGACTTGCGTAAAATGACGAAAATTTTTCGTAACTTTTTTCCAACTTTCAAATTAAAAAAGATTTATCAAACTAATAAGAGTTCAAGTTTCAAATTTTTAAATTTAATCTTTTATTTAAAAAAATCAGCATGAATAAATTTTGATTTTAAAATGAATATAAATAACTTACTTCGGGAGGAAGAACGTATGTAAACGAGTTTTGAAAAGGCCAAGAGCCCGAGCTTACCACTTGAATGCTAAAATCGACTGATATAAAATTTTTAATTAGAATAAATTTTTTAAAAAGTTGTCCTATGATTTATTTTATACAATATAAAAATATATATTACGCCCAAGTGTCGTCCCAGACTTTTCCATTTCTCTTTTAAACCGTTCGTTTAGACCTTTGCTTACGCCTATGTCTTGAAACATCCTCTGTAGCTTGGACGTATATTCAAAACCACAGGTTTGCTATAAAAAAATTGTAAATAATTAGGGGTGTGCCGATATTAAATATAGGATCGGTGCCGATATTTGGCGTTTCCCAAAAATATCGGATCGAGCCGATACCTGTAAAAATTTTTAAAACTTTTGAGTAATGAAACTTTGAATTATTATTACATTTAAAAAAAATAAATAAAAAAAAGATTAAAAAAAATATTTTTTCTGAGTTTCTATTTTACATTAATAATATTTTCTAAATAATTTTTTTAAAAATAATGCAAATGTTATTTATTTTTTTAAATAGATTTTAAAAGTTTTTTTTAAAAATAGAAATAACACCTAAAGTTTTATTTATTTTTAATTTTTTTAAAAAATAATACCAATTTTATTATTTATACTTTAAATAAAAGAATTATTTTAAATATGGTTTCTGAATTATGGAAATATTCTGATAAAGTTAAATAGAATTTTGCAAAATGCGTTATCTGCGGAATTCTAATTTCACGAGGAATAATGAAAAATTCATTTAATACAACATATAATCGGAAACATTTAAAGAGATTCCATCAAACGGAATTCGAAGAGCTAATATAAAAAGAAAGAGAAATATTAGAAAAAACAAATCAAATTTTTTAAAAAAGAGCCCTGAAAGTCAGCCAACAATATCAGCCATTCTTAATAAAACTAATATTTGGAAATATTCTGATCCTTTGCCTGAAAATCTAGAGGCTCTTATATTTATAAAAAATAAAAAAATCTAATATATTATAATTTTATATGTTAAATATTACAATTTTATAAACCAACATAAAATGATAAATTATTATATTTATTTTATCTATTATAATATAATTTTTTTAAATTATTGTTGAAATAAAAAAATTAAATTAAATGCCTAATTCTTTTGCATAAAAATATTGATTTCTTAATTACAGAGGGTGGTGAAAAATCAATATAAATATCGGTATCGGATCTGTTTTGAACCAATACCGGATCGGATAAGTGAAAAATATATAAATAGGCACAGCCCTATAATTAATCAATAATTAATAACCATCAGATTTATATTGAATGGTAAAAATATTGATATATCTATATCCTTCAAGGCGTCGCTAGCCTTTACAATCTCAGGGGGCTTTAACTAAAAAAAAATTTACGGGAGAAACGACTCCAAATCATAAAACAATATGGTGGTTAGAGCTTCCGCTTAGATGACATGATGGAAGCTAGATAAGTAATCGAGAAAATTATTGTGAGATATTAAATTTCAAAAAGATTATCTTCCATTTTTAATGATATATACACAGTTGACCATTATTGTTTATCTAAAATATGCAATCATATGCTCTCAACAGTTGTAGTAATAATATTAAATTATATAGCAACACAAATAATATATGCTGGTTAATTTGCAGTCATAGCGATGACACTCGCGATGTAAACTAATATCAGAATTTATTATGTTGGATAAATTGATAAAATAAAAACACTAAAAATCTTTGGAAGAAATAATTATGTAAATATATTTAAGCCTTAGGAGCTATGATTCATGTGATAAATGATAAAGAAGTTTGTTTGAAATATTTCAAAATCACAGGTTTCATTAATTTAAGTAGGTTTCCCATATTAGAAATTCGAACTAGCATATGGATAATTTTCACGATTCAGAATTATCCGATATACAATGAATTTCCATCATTGTTGATATTATAATATAATCATCATTGTTCATTTGATTCGTAACATTGACTTATCTGAATTTAAATTCATTAAATTATAAGCAATCAATTTATCTAAAAAATATTAATGGTTGATGCCTGTGCCAAAATTAGGAAAAAATTATACATGTATATAAAAAAAATTCTTAGGATGTCTTATATTTTGGAGAATGTTTTTTTTCATCAAAAAATATAGTCTCCTTAAATTGTAATATATTTTAGATAGGTATAAAATGAAAATTGAGATTAAACGGTATAAGATTTCCTAAAGTTGATGATTAAGTTTATATCAAAATAAAATTAAAACAAGAAGTTGCTATGAAAATAATATATAAAGTATCTAGATTATGTATGGAGATTATATATACAAATTTATTGATTTTAAACAAAAGAAAATTATAATGGAAAATATTTTTAAAAGAAAATAACATTAAAATATCTATTAATTAATGGTAAAAAAAATATACAGGAAGCAGCCATTTTAATAGGACTGACTTACCGCTCGATCCTTAAAATACTATACATCTATAATAAATATTTCATTATATAGAGAAGGTGATAAAAAAAAGTAAAGGGGAAAAGGGTTGTTAGGCATAGGATTTTAACCTAACCAATTGGGATAAATGGAGGAGTTATAAGATAACTCTATATTTTAAGAGAACGTTCACTAAAATATTAAAAGGTGTGAACCTTAAGTTTGGATATCATACTAGCTTCCGCATCGTCACTAGTCGATATTTGAAATATCAAACGTTTGGCAAGCATTCGTCCATAATAATTTTGAAACACGTCCTTGTCCTCTATGTATTTGAACACTATCATCTGGATTTATATTATATTTTAAGAATAGTTATACATCACTCTTTAATATTATTTCAATTTAAATATTCTTTAAAAAGATAATGATGTGAAAAATAACCAATAATTAAATGGAATAGAGATTATAACACATTTTCAAAAATATAGATCCATGAATAATAACAATTAAAAGGGGATATGTGTCATAAATGGCCATGTTTGAAAACTGGCCACCACCCTTTAACTTTTTATCTATTGGACCGATTTCTCTCAAAATTGGTCAAAATGTGTATATTTATGATATGTACCTTACCTAAGGTCATTTATTAAATAGAGTATCCAATAAAAAAATATTTTAAATAAACTGTTTTTAGTATACCACTTCCTGGAAAAATCACATTATATATTTTTTGTTTGGTAAAAAAATTACTAATTTAGATTACTTATATTTTATATATAAATATTATCCTTAAGCATTAAGCATTATTCACACCTTTAAAATTTTTATTTAATAGACATATAAAGGCGCTTAATAATAATAGAGAGGTTAGTATTGTCTGGCCATGTATTGATTGGCCACAATTCGCACATTCATTTTGAAATGAAAAGCTAGCGCAAAACACCATTTGGTGAAATTTCAAATGATGAACAAACTTAAGAATGTTTAACAAAAAGATAATTAAGATATTAAATTATAATATTATAATTAAATAGATGATGATAAATTGAGATATTAATACTAATTAAATTAGTGTATAATTAATTTTTTATATAACTAAAAAATGTAAAAATATTAGCCTAGGTCTTTAACAAGTATTTTATATTGTATTATGTCATATTTATAATAAAATTCTTAAATAATATATTATGGTCAGTTAACACATAGTATATGGCCGCCAGTCAATACATAAGAAAAACAACTTTCACATAACCCCATCTAGCTCATAAACTATTATAGACAGCTTTGATTCAAATTTTATTTTAAGGATTAATAATTAGGCTACACATTGATATAAAATTTGTTTGGTGAAACCCAAATCTTAATACCTTTTTTTCAAAAAAACAAAAACATGGCCATTCATGGCACATTTCCCCTATTTAATATTTTTGTTTAAAAAAGTAATAAAAAGAATATGAATTTAAAATTTATTTGTTACTATTTGATTTAGTATTTCTTCGAGTTCAGATTCTTCTGGATTCTTAGAGCTTTACAAATAATAGATCAAATAATTACATTACATTTAAGTGACGGTATTAAAATTTTAAAAATGCCCAAAAACCAGATAATTTTAAATAAAAAGACAAATGGGACAATACTTGGCCAGGCTAATACTAATGGAACTGATCAGTATTGGTATCAGCTAATTTTAATTTTATATGATACCCGAAAAATGATTAACCATTTTTTAAAATGTTTTTAAGCCTATATCGTGCCATGAATCGAGGGAGGGGGGTTGTTATCTCTAAACGATAAATAAACAATAAAGAATAGTATGATATAATGAAACTTTTTTCAATAAATATTATGTATAATATATTTTTATGTTGGTATGGCTAAAAAAAATCGTATTGGTGGATCTCTGTTTAGAGAATAAACCTTTTTTTGAGTTGTAAATCGCAGTATTTGGCTAATAATTCAGGACTTTTGCTAGAATTCGACATAGATGTAACGGCGTTTTTATTAATAAATGTTCCACACGCCTAAAATAATAAATTATATAATAGTGTCTCTAAATTAAGTATAAATATATTCTAAATTTTTCTTTTTATAAATATAGATATTTTATTTTAAATATTTTAATCAGATCATAAATATTATTATATCTAAAATTAATATATAAACGATAACATAAAGTTAACACTATATAAAAAAAATAAAATATTTATTACTTGTATAAAAATTGTAAAATAAGTTATAATGAAATGTACGTCAAAATTGGACCGAGTATGACAATTTTTTTTATATTTCATGCTGGGCTTAAAAAATTAAGCCAAATGAGGATCACCGATTTATAATTTTACGATTTTCACAACTATTAAGATATTTCATATATGTTAAAATACATTTGATTTTATCATTAAATTATCAAAGTTGCTAAATATTTAAATTTAATGCATAACAATAAAAAATAGAGAATAAAATAGATATTTAGAATTCTAACAAGAAGTCTGCAACAGTAGGGTACGCTCGTACTTAAATGAGTTTTATTTTTCAAACAATTGGCAAGAGAGGAGCGTGGGCAGAAAAATTCCGATTTTAAAATTTAAAGCCCCTATCTATAAATTACACACATTTCGCCATGAAACCTTGTATATTTAACCCAACCCTAACTAATAAAAACTGTAATATTTAAGCATATATTTAACATTATGAATTGATCAAGATGAATGACTAAATCAAAAATAATATCTCTTACTTTATCTAGGGCAGCGACGAACCCTGAATCATTGTTAAATGCAGAAATGACTAAAGAGTTATATTTGTTGTGCACCTCTAAAATTATGTTGACGTAAGTTTTAGAATCCTATTTTTTTATAAAATTAAAAGGTCAAAAATTATTTTCATTTTCTAATTTAAATCATTCACTTCTCAGAAATTATCCTATATTTTCTTTGTATTAAGCAATTTAAAAATTTAATCATCTTGATTTTATGCAATCACCAAAAAAATATGGATGTTTAAATATTTTAACATTTTTCTAACTTAAATATTATTATAAAACAAGTTACAATGTTAACATGTATTGTACTGTAATAGCAGTTTCACAACTGTTAGCAATAGAAGTTAGGCCCTGGTTGATTATATGTTGTTGCAAAAGAGTTTTCAATTCGTTCAAAGCATCAGGAATTCTTGATACTAGGCAATACATTCTGCCTATGTCTAAATTTAAAAAAATAGAGGATAAAATAACCATTTTTCATAATTATTTAAGAATATTTATTAAGAAATGAAAGCAATTAACTATCGATAGCTAAACCATTACCTACTTCATTTTCGTTTATTTAAAGGGACGACTACCAAGAGAATATGGCATGAACTCAATAATAGCCAGATCCCCAAGTACATAGAATTTGAACCTTCAGGTCTCAGTCCCGATAATCTAATGAGATACAATGGCATGATCCTCGCCTCAGTCAAGGCTTACCTATAGCTTGGGACTACACCTGCATAGATCGGCATTTCCTCACTCCCTTCGTAGAAAAATAGCAAAACCAACAAATACAAGCATTTAAACAACCTCAAATCCATTCCAATCGCATAACTCTCAGGTCATTCGAAAAACATTTAAATCTATAGGGCAAAAAGTTTAAAAGGATTGTATCTGCGACAAACTCAACAAATACAAGCATTTAAACAACCTCAAATCCATTCCAATCGCATAACTCTCAGGTCATTCGAAAAACATTTAAATCTATAGGGCAAAAAGTTTAAAAGGATTGTATCTGCGACAAACTCAAATTGCATTTCCATCCATAGAACATTGAACCTTATTACTTCAACTTAAATTTTGTTAAACCATTTTATAAGATAATAATGTTTTTATTTTTAACAGTTTTTTCAAATATTATTATAATAGCATATTATGTTAATTTTGTAACATTCAAGGACCTGAAGCAAATATATTTTTACGTCCCAGGTTCCGTTCCAGCTTAAAAAATATGTTCCATCCCATATTTTGGAAAGTTCCAGAACGCGTTCCTATAAATATGAAATTTTATTTCTATTTTATTATATATAACACCAATTTCTATGTAATAGTAATTAAGATAATTTGTAAAAGATTATCATTTATATATGTGCGATGGTGTTAATTTAGATTTGAGTGTCGAAAACATCTCACAACAACTTTATAAATATTAAAATTTAAAAGTATTTTTATACAATATTAATTTTATAATAAAACAGGTAAAATCATTTCAAATGCGATTAAAATATTTTATTCAATCTTAATTCTTAAAATCACATAATAGTAAATAATGTATATATTGTTATGCGAGGCAAACTTGAATTAAGAAAATAAAAAACGAATTAATAAACCATTACATTCATGTAATAAATTTAACTTTTATAATTTTTAGCTATATAATATAGTTTCAAAAATATTATTTTAATAAAATAATCACATTGTTTAAAAAAATATATATCACATAAATTGAAAAAAGAAAATATAAAGGAAGAAAATTTTAATATTTAAAATTGCATTCATATATTAAATTATAAGTTAATTAATAAAAATAACTTATATAAATCTATATTAAAATGAGATATATTAGATATGTTAAAAAAATTTTAAATAACAAATATCAAAAACGGTATAAAAAGCGGGGATGTTATATAGCTAATGAAATTTTTAACATTCTTTTTGGAAAACTGGAACTTTCCTGGGATCACCATTCCCCTTACTTTCGCATCTTTCCCCAAGCTTCATTCTTAATGTCCATGGTACACATATATTTATTTTTCTAAATTAGATATTACTTTTTAAACATTAAAATTATTTTTAACCAAAAAGATAAAAAGGATAAATTATCCATTATCAAAAATGTTACCTTCGTTTTTATTAGTATTGAGTAGATTTTGAAATTCAGAATAAAACGTATCTAGGTGTTGTTGAATAAGAACTTGTTCGCATTTTTTGAGCAATATTTCCATGGTAGAAGGATGCAAATATAAATTTACCCGCTTTTGTTCTTCCATAAGCCGCATTTCGGCCTGATTAAAGTAAAATCAATATAAGTTAAATAAAGACATGAAATGCTGACTAAGTGTTTTTAAAAAATTTTCAAGAAGAATATAGGTATTACGGTAAGTATACAAAAAGATATATATATATAGCATTAGCTTGATTTCAAAATTTTATATTTCACCACTGATTATAAAAATATATTTGTGATTATTACCTGCAGCTTAAAACTAATTGGAATTCTTTTTAAATATCTTTTAAAACTTTTTTCATATATTCGGTTATTGGGTTTTTCCCCAGGAATTCGCTGCTCTCTCTCTTGTAATATCGTTCTGTATCCTGTAGAAACACTCGTTCGAAAAAATATTTATAAACGGAAAGAAACCCTGTACAAGTGACGGATGGGTAGGATGGATGGCCGGTTCCCTTATCGAGGAAAACACCATTGATAGGGTCTTTGTCGTTTCTATCCTCGAGGTTAGCATGAATTTGAAAATCTTCTTCGTTTGAATTATGTGTGGGGTCATCGTTTAACGGAGTATTATTATTTTTATTGGTGAAAGAATTGCCGATTTTAGGGGAGACTTCTTTGTTAAGGCCATTTTTGGAAAGTTGGTTGAGAGATATATTTGAGGATGGATAATAATTTAAAATTTCGGTCGGGGTGGAGTCATCTTCTGGTGAAATTTCATTGCCCCCGATCTCGACTTTAATAAAATAGTATAATTTTTTTAAATGTTTGCAGTACATTATAGATCTGTGTTTTTTTTGAAATTACCGTGTAGTAGCTTCGTAATGAAGATCAACCTTATCAGTTCCGACCGCTCCTCAATCCGCAGATCGAGTTTATAAACAAAATGGAATCAAGTTTAACGTTCAAAAATATTCCGAATTTGGTAATATCACTTTCAAAAAATGATTTTAAAATTAGTTGGGGATTTTAAGGAAACAAAATTATTTTAAAGTTCTATAAATTATCTGAAAACTATTTTAAATAAAAAGAATCCCGAGAGATAATTCTCCAGATTAATTTAACTCCCCATTCAGAAGAAAAAAATTTTCCCAAATTTTTTTTTCGGGGAATTATCTTCCGCTTACCCAATATAAAGCCACCTCATTGAAACAGTTTATAGCTTTGTTAGTCACATTTCGAGGTCTGCAAAGCATTTTTTTGAAACCCGAGCAGGAATTAAAAAACGTTTTTGTCCGAGCCCGACCCGAGCACACATTTTTTAATTTAACCCCCGAGTTAGACTAAAATTTTACAATATGAGTTTGAATATTATAATAACCAAAAAAAATTTATGTGTATTTGTTCAACGCCACCTTAAAAAAGTTTATTTGATGGCCATAATCTCATCAAGATATATATTAAGTTGCATTTTATTTAATTTTTAAAAAATATTATAAAAAAATTAAAATACAATCGAATTTAAAAATTATAAATAATTTAACCATATTTTTATATATCTGTTACCAGCACATCGACTCCTTTTCATATGAGTTTTATTTCGAAAATAATTTATTGCGTATACCATAAGCAGTATCTATTAAATTTCTAGAAATTATCGTGGGTTATGGGAATGATGCTTTTAACATCAATATTTCCATATATTGAGCAATTATGGCAAAATATTAGCAACAATCAACAAAGCCTTCCAAATGAATAGTATCAAATGATCTCAAATCACGTCCAGAAAACATGATAAGCACCTTTGTACACTCTTTCTTTAATTTGGTATAACTTTTGAGTTTTTTGGGATCAGTACCAGAAAGGCTATCAATTGTTAATTAAGTCTTTTAACTCTCTATTGTAAATACATATTTATTTCTTTTTAGTGCGCCTAAAATAATATAATAATATCATATATTTTATGAATAAATATACTAACCTGTTGTTATAGAATTATAAACATATATATATTTGCAAAAATTGCAACTTATATAATTAAGTTTTTCTTTGTTTTCATCATATATAAATGAAAACTTTTTCCAGACCTCCGATTATTGGTATTTTTCCTTACTTCATATTCACTGCTCTTAAACTTTCACCAATTTTTTTAATTTGGCATCCACTAAAATATTATTTTTAATATGAAAATATGAAGCTATTTAATTAAATAGATATTAGTAAAATATTTTAACTTGATAGAATATGATGAAAGTAAAGTATGTAATAATATCGTAAACTATGCAATGCAATGTACTAAAATATAAACACATAAAATAGTTTGGTAATGGTTGTTATGTAAATTTTATAATAATAATTGTATATGACATGTTATTCTGATCGACATTTTAAAGATAAAATGTGATAAATAAAAAATGATATGGTTTTATAATTGACATTATGAATTATAATTATTTAGGATATTTTTATTAATATTTATTTTTCAGGTCGGAGTGCGGGTAGAACAGCTCTTAAAACCCGACCCGAGTCCAAAATTTTTTTAATGTCCGAACCCGTCTGGGCCGAGTCGGGCTATGGACAGCCCGTGCAGTTTCTAGTCAGTGTTATTTTTCAATCTGGTTAGTCTGGGTATGAGGTTATTATCCCCTCCTCTTCCAACATTTTTCCCCAGAATTAATTAGATACATCCATTACACTAAATGTTTTGCAGTTTTTCGTGATGGGACAAATGCCAGTTATAATTAGAACATACAATAATTAAATAGTCAAAATAGATAAAATTAGTTAATTTGAAAAATAATACTTAATTATTTAAAAGTATTCAATATATTCCTTCTGGAACATTTATATTTATTTCAAAATATATATATCATTTTTACAAAATTTAATAAAACATTTTTCGTTTAAAAAAATCTTAAATAATGATATTAGTTATAAATAATGCAAATTTTATTTATGAAAATATATTTAATGAAAATAATAACGTTGAATTTATAAATATCATGTTTAAAAAGTATTTCCATAAAAAAAGGACTGGGTAGATGTTAAATATTGATTGTAAACTTATAATTTGTCATAAATATTTTTATCACCATTTATTTGATGAAATAATTGTAATAATTATTTTATAATTAATTTTATAATAAATTAATGAAAGGAACTATAGTTAAAAAAGTTACACTATATTTTGTTATATTATCTGCAACAAAAATGATTTTAAAATATCTAACAACTCACATTCAGCTAGAGTTTTTAAATGGCCTTATTTAGCCAATTTTTAAAAACGGTTCTCAAGATTTTGGCCAAAAATAAATTATTAAAGCATTGATTTTGTCCACAGGTGATAGAAAGGTTTTGACTTTTATGGCTGAAAGATAATAAAATATTGGCTAATATCTTGATTTAACCTGTTTTTAATCGGCAAAATAGAAATGCATAACAAAACTAGATTCACCTATAAATTGCAAATACTTTAAATGAGATTAACTTTAGGGGAATAAAAAAATAAACTTAAATCATTCATGAAAGTTAGTTGGTTATTTTTTTAAATAAATTTTTTTTATAACATTGGTTCATAGATAGATGGTAAATAAAAATCGGATTGGTATTAGTAATATCATAAAATATTGGATAGGTAAAAAAAGTTGGGGACCAGCACAGCCTTACATAAAATGTATTTAATCAAATGTAGAAATGACTTGTCAAAATAAGTTTTATTTTTACAATACAGGATTTTTAATGGAATACATTACAATAGTAGTAATGATATTAATTGTAAATTGTTTTGATTTTTATAAAACATTTTTAAATAATTTCAGGTTTACAACATTCATCATATTTATTTGAATCTACAATTATAAATGGAGATCAGAGGTTAGCGCATTAGGATTTTTTCAAAAAGGTTTTTTTTAGCCTAGCTCATAACAATTCAAAAAAATATTTTATACAAGTTTCCCACCAAAAATTATTTATCCCAGCCCAACCCTTAATTATTTTTTGTAAAGGAAAAATAAATTTTGATAATTTATGGTTTAAAAATCTGTTGGCCTAATAAAAAAATACTTCACACAAATATTTTAACCTAACCCACATGGCGATCAGATTGTTTATATATATTTTCTTCCTTCATTATATTGTAAGATATAAAATATAGAATGTTTACTTAAATAAATAATTACACTGATAAAAAAATAATAATGAAATAGACTAAGGTGTTAAATTTATTTAATCTTTATCCTCTTACTAAATGAAAATTTAAATAACCTATAGAGATGGTAGCTGATTCTATAAAAAAAAAAATTTAAATCATAATTAATCATTTGAATGTTTTATCTCTTTAAAATATATTAACTTAAAATACCTTCTAAAATAAATTTTTTTTATTATTTTTACCATAACTTTTAAGGACACCACTAATAAGTGAAGTGTTTATAGTCTCACCATTTCTTTCCCTGTCTATAAGCTTGAGTACTGCATTGGTAACCTATAATTCAAATATGAGAAAAAATTATATTCATTTGAAACTAAATTTAGCATAAATTACTTGATTGTGCAATGGTTTGAATAAGCATTCTCTCCACATGACCAATGCTAAATAATAGACTTCATATATACCTTTTCTACCTTCATCACATTCCCTCTTTACCCAATGTCTATTTATATATGCACATATTCCATTTAGCACATCACTTGAAAAATAGTAATCTTCCCATTGCTTCACATAAAATGACAAAAAACTTTCATCCATAGCATTTTGAGTTTTCTTAATATTGTATTGTTTAAAAAATATTTAGGAATAAATTACAAAAGTTTTGCAATATAGATTCTAAATAAATGAAAAACTGTTTACTTCTAGAAGATTCAAGAGATGGGTCTTAAGAAAATCATTTAATCTTCGATAGAGTTCTAGACCAACAAATTGAGCACCAGTAGGTGTGGCTATGAGGTTTTTTTTAGTTTTTGAATTTTTGCTATATCCAGTGGAATAAGGGTGTGCAAGATTATTGATATTAGTATTCACATTATGTTGAACACTTGTACAATAATTATATACATGTCTATTATAAAATTAGATATTATTTATATATGTAAATAAGCCTACGTATATAACTCGATATAGCGCTGTTTACTCATAGTTTTCTGAGAATATATATGTTTTAAACCTTCTTTTAAATCTCCCCATATATAGTCTAAATCTGTGTGCTTTATATTTGACATCTCTCAATTTATGAAAAAAAATAACATTTTTTAACAACAATAGTAATTATAATAAATATATATCTTATATTTATATTGTATAATATATTAAAAAATGTTATATTAATTGTAAGCAGAATTATTTTTTTGTCTTTTAAAATTAATATTAAAGGACTGCAAATTATTCCACTATTAAATTTAGAACCCAAAAGTTTTTTTTATAAATAATTATAGTGTTGTGATGATTTAATGACACATATTGAAGATTAAATTAAAACCAATTCATGTATAATAAAATTATTTCTTTTGTTGTACATTTCTAAAGATTATAATTATATATGCATGAGTTTAAATTAAGTCGTTAATATGTTAAATTAAATACTCATAACAGTGTATAATGGAATATTTAAATATGTTAATATTTCTTATATATAAAATAAAAAATTGAGCTGTTTTATAATACTCAGTGCTGTTGGAAATACATTTCTTTTATTTTAGAAGAGTGAATAGGATATGTCAAATAATGAAACGTTAGAACTAAAATATGATACTAAATCTTTATTAAATACTTAAATATAAAGTGAAAACATAATCAAAATAAAAGATAAATAAAATTAATATAAATTAAATAAGTTCGCAAAAATAATAATTATAATCCTCTTACAAGTAAAATATTCCCGATTATATATACTTTTCTTTACTATTCATTTACATAGTGTTTAAACAACAAACTTAAAATCTTGAACTTTATTTAATCTGAATAATAAATCTTTTTTATTCATTTTTCTTATTTGAATATTACAACAGGATAATATATTAAGCAGGGGCGTCGCTAGCCTTTACAATCTCAGGGGGCTCAACTAAAAAAATTTTATGGGGTCACCCCCCATATCCCCTATTTTCGGGCCTTCGGTACGCTTTTGCCCGGTCTTCGGCCGGGTTTTATATTAATATATTATACTTTTTCAAAATTTGCTAACTCTGATTAATTATTCTGAATTTCATATTTTGTCATTTATTATATTATGCATAAAAATAAACTAGCATATAAATAATAAAAACAATATAAGATATTTCTAAAAATATTATTTTTTAATATAAAATCTATTTATTACAGTATAAAATATTTTCGATTGCTGATATAAAAAAAATTTGCCTCTAAAGAACTACAAGTGATAAAAAGTTAATTAATTCATATATATGCCTCAATTGATAATGGTTTTTTAAAACCACATATTATAAAATTAGAAACTTACATTAACAAAAGGTCAAGAAATAATATAACACTCTGTTACCATTTTTAGACAATGTCTTATAGAATAGACTAATAAATAGGCCCAACCAAATCAACAATTCTTGGAGAAGAGAATATAAAAGACCAATCCAAATCATAAAACTATATGGTGGTTAGAGCTTCCAATTAAATGACATGATGGAAGCTAGATAAGTAATTGAGAAAAAAATTCTGAGATATTAAATTTCTAAAAGATTATCTTTCATTTTTAATGATATATAAACCAGAGTTGTACATTTGCTCAAAATAAAAAGATCTTCAAAGATCTAGATCTTGTAAAATTTGAAGATCTTTTATTTTTTAAAAATTTTGTGTAGATCTTTGAAGATCGCTGCGATCAACGATCTTCAAAATTTATTTTTTTACCCCTTTAACCAGATGTTTTTCAATTTTATTAATATAATATTTCTTTTATGTTTTATACCTCTCCTCCTGCCTTGATGAAAGAAAAAAATAAATTTTTTTTTAAAAAAAAATATTGACACAGCATGTTTCTAAAATTTTTGATGGCTTTATTATTAGATTGCAAAATATTAAAAAAAGAGTGCCTACAAGAATATTTTTTTGATTGATATAATATTATCATTGAAAAGTGAAATAATTTTTATTTATTTGAATTGTAAAAAAAATATTTAAAAATTTATTGAAAAGCTTCCTTTTCTTCCGAAATTTTTTTAAAAAAATAAAATTATAACTGTTTCCAATGAGAGTGTAGGTAGTGTTGCATATTATATAATAGTAAAGATGTGCTAAACCCATATTTTAAAAAAATTGGGTTTGGGCTTTGTCGGTTCTAAAAAAAAAAATTTTAAATTCCGGCCAGGTCGGGTAGTGCCTTGGAAATTTTTTAAAATAAATATAAATATATGAATAATTATAAAAAATTAATTTTTGCTGGCTGTGCTGGTAAAATTTTTTTTAATCGGGTTCGAGCCGGAAAACATTTTTTAAAAATTTTGGGTTGGGCTTGAAAAATTAGGCCCTATGCAGATCACTATAATACATTATTATAATATATTTTCCTCTCGCTAATTAATAAGTAATTACTATGTTTAAGATAACACATTTGCATTTTATATATCCAGTAATAAATTTTTATTTCATTTTTTTTAAAATTTTTAAATCAAAATATAAATCTTTTTTTTTGTGAGTTTTAAAAATAATTTCCGGTATTTAAAAAAAGGAATCAAAAAAACAGACCGGTCTATGGGTCTTGGAAACTTTCTTAGAAAGTGTATCAGCATACCCTGGCTTAATAAATTAGTATCGCTATGCCAATTCCCCTTACTACTAGTTCAGAATGAGGTGCTAACTTTCTTTTAATTTCATCGCTATTTTTTAATATTGATTTTTTAAATAATTTTAGAAATGTATCTATTGGACATATATATTCGATAACATTAGTTCCTAAATTTGATAGATAATTAGAATACTTTTGGATATTCGTATTATTTAATGGGGGGGGGGCCTATTCTAAAGTCAAAATATAGTATAATTTATAATATCAATTTATACTTTTTATCTTTTATTAATTAATAAAGTTTAATAATTATTATTAAGGATAATTTATCTTAATGAGGGTCTGAACCCCGGGTCTGAACCCCGGGTCTGGACTCCGGGTCTGAACCTCGGGTCTGGTTTTATACAATCAACCAATTAACAACACTTTAATATTAAGTAAAAGTCATGCTTTTACTATTTACAACGATATAAAATAGCAAGTTGCGATTTTAAAAATAAAAGTAAAACAAAATTAACACTTTCCCAAGATGTCTAGGAAATGTCATAAAAACCACCAATAAAATCAGAATGATATGATATATTTGTCATATTATATATCCTTAAAATAAGCTAAATTTGAATAAAAAAATTAAGCCCAAGCCCAGCCCAAGTTAGTTGGATCTAGAATTTAACAACCCATAATTATATCAGAAACATGGATATGGTATAGACCTAAATATATTTTTTCTAGCGGGCCTAGGCCGGATTTGGGTTCTTTGGAAATTTTATGCAATATGACTTGGGCTGGGCTTGGGCTTAATTTTTTTATTTAAATTTAGCTTATTTTAAGAATATATAATATGACAAATATATCATATCATTCTGATTTTATTGGTGGTTTTTAAGACATTTCCTAGACATCTTGGGAAAGTGTTAATTTTGTTTTACTTTTATTTTTAAAATCGCAACTTGCTATTTTATATCGTTGTAAATAGTAAAAGCATGACTTTTACTTAATATTAAAGTGTTGTTAATTGGTTGGTTGTATAAAACCAGACCCGAGGTTCAGAGCCGAAGTCCAGACCCGGGGTTCAGACCCTCATTAAGATAAATTATCCTTAATAATAATTATTAAACTTTATTAATTAATAAAAGATAAAAAGTATAAATTGATATTATAAATTATACTATATTTTGACTTTCGAATAGGCACACCCCCCCCCCCCATTAAATAATACGAATATCCAAAAGTATTCTAATTATCTCAATCAAATTTAGGAACTAATGTTATCAAATATATATGTCCAATAGATACATTTCTAAAATTATTTAAAAAATCAATATTAAAAAATAGCGATGAAATTAAAAGAAAGTTAGCACCTCATTCTGAACTAGTAGTAAGGGGAGTTGGCATAGCGATACTAATTTATTAAGCCAGGGTATGCTGATACACTTTCTAAGAAAGTTTCCAAGACCCATAGACCGGTCTGTTTTTTTTATTCCTTTTTTTCAATACCGGAAATTATTTTTAAAACTCACAAAAAAAAAGATTTATATTTTGATTTAAAAATTTTTAAAAAAATAAAATAAAAATTTATTACTGGATATATAAAATGCAAATGTGTTATCTTAAACATAGTAATTACTTATTAATTAGCGAGAGGAAAATATATTATAATAATGTATTATAGTGATCTGCATAGGGCCTAATTTTTCAAGCCCAACCCAAAATTTTTAAAAAATGTTTTCCGGCTCGAACCCGATTAAAAAAATTTACCAGCACAGCCAGCAAAAATTAATTTTTTATAATTATTCATATATTTATATTTATTTTAAAAAATTTCCAAGGCACTACCCGACCTGGCCGGAATTTAAAATTTTTTTTTTTAGAACCGACAAAGCCCAAACCCAATTTTTTTAAAATATGGGTTTAGCACATCTTTACTATTATATAATATGCAACACTACCTACACTCTCATTGGAAGCAGTTATAATTTTATTTTTTTTAAAAAATTTCGGAAGAAAAGGAAGCTTTTCAATAAATTTTTAAATATTTTTTTTACAATTCAAATAAATAAAAATTATTTCACTTTTCAATGATAATATTAAAAACTCTTATATCAATCAAAAAAAATATTCTTGTAGGCACTCTTTTTTTAATATTTTGCAATCTAATAATAAAGCCATCAAAAATTTTAGAAACATGCTGTGTCAATATTTTTTTTTTAAAAAAAATTAATTTTTTTCTTTCATCAAGGCAGGAGGAGAGGTATAAAACATAAAAGAAATATTATATTAATAAAATTGAAAAACATCTGGATAAAGGGGTAAAAAAATAAATATCATGAAGATCTTTGAAGATCGTTACACAAAATTTTTAAAAAATAAAAGATCTTCAATTACGATCTTCAAAGATCGTTGCTCAAATTTTTTTATAAATAAAAGATCTTCAAATTTTACGATCTTCAAAGATCTTGCTCAAATTTTTGAGCTAGATCTCGCTCAAAAATCTTCAAAGAA